AGAAACAAAATTACATCTCTTTATAGTATAAGTGCAAAATTATCATATAACATGCATTTCAAATCCTCCCCACAAAGATTCAATTTTGCACCTGCTTCCCACTGGAGGTTTGGAAGTGCATGTAATTAAGGAGACCTGGGACATAATCTTTATGTTGTAAAATATGAAAGCATAAACAGTATAAGGAATGAGAGATCATTTTCAGAAAACCCAGTGTTAAAAATACACTCATTTAAAGAAATTAGTCAAATCCTCCTTTCCAGTTACACAGCTGTAAGTACTAAAAAGCCTAATGTGATTTTTGACAACTATAAATATAAATCCATAATATCAATCCACAGAACTGAGAGAACCGGTGAGTGTGAATATTACAATTCACTCTAGTTTTTAACCTCTTGTGAATCAAAGTGGCTGAAAACAACTGTGGTGACCTTATTTCATGGCTTAGACTCTCCAAAGGTGCTAGGTTGTATCAAGTCCTCAATCTGATGTCACCCTATTGTCTTAACAAGACACTGTAGATTGCACTTAGGAGGATCTGAGTTTAGTTAAAAGTAGAGCTCAGATCTCACTCAATCTGACTAATTTAGCAGGCTTGATTGTAACTCAGCAATGACAAATCATCTAAAGGACCCAAATAAAGTAGGACAGAAAAACATGTCCAGTTAGAAGTAACAAAAAAAATTGTCAGAATGGGCAAAACTGGGAAATGTGATGTTGTAAAACAACATGTTACTACTAGTGACATGCTCCAATCTTGGACTAAATCAAATTTCAGAAATTTGGCTGAGTGTCTAAATTCAATGTAGTAGCATGGATTAGGCACTAGAACAGAAAAAGGTCATTAGTGGGGAAACTGGTGAAATCCAGATAACTCTGGAGTTTAATTAATTGTAATGCATCAGTGTTGAATTATATACAGTCACCCTTGAATGGAAGTCTAGTCCTACAAAGGACAAATCTAATTTTTGAAGGTATAAACAAGAAGAAACTGCATATATCAGAAGGCATAAGGAGCCTAGCACAGAAGGTATTGTAATTCCTTCTTGTGGATCGAGAGGTAGCTGTACTACCTTTATAATGTCAATAAACAGAAGGGTTATCTTGAAAGAGGGGTAATAACAATCTGATAGACATCATGATGACACTAACCTTGAATAGGAATAAGAATGTGGGCTCTAAACTGATTAGGCCCTAGGTCTGAGTCTCAGCTCTGCCTTAATTTCCTGATCCATAAAATGGAGATGAAAATAATAAAGTCTCCCTTATAAACTTATTATGAGGGTTAAATGCAATGAAGCATATAGAAGCTTGGAAGAGTGCCTAGCACATAGCAAGTATTCAGTAACAGTTAATTCTTATTATTGAATTTTTACCTCTCAAACTTCTAACTTCTACTTTTATCAGTTGATTCAGAGGAGAAGAAAAGAAATAATGCAAAGGAATCTAGGTAGCATCTACAAAACTGTGAAGTTGTAGGATAAAAACTTTATATACTAGAAGAATAGTTATTAGATCATCACTTTTTATTGCTAGTGATTGGGATTCTGGAGAAGAAAAATAAATATAAGAAGCCCAGAGAATATTTAAGGATGGACTGTATATTCTGGTAAAAGATTAATTCAGATAAGGGAATGAGAAACTCCAAACTAAAAATGGAGTGAATATGAGTCCTGGGAAGAAAATGCTTGCCCAGACAGGAACCAGTACAATTTAGTACTGTGTAGAAGGTGCTATGTTTTGTGTGAGTGCAATACAATCACAACAGTAACAACAACATAGCGATGACAGCAGCAGCAGTAATGCTCACATAGTTCACACTAACCATGTATCAGGTACTGTTCTACATGAATGGTGTATTAACTCCTTTAACCTACTAATTCTTAGAAGAAATCACTTAGGCTTACACTTACGCCTAAGATCTGGACTTAAATTTTGGCCCTGCCTTTAAGGAGCAAAAAAGTTAGTTCACTTCTTTGAGCTTTAGTTTCCTCATCTCTAACTAAGAGAGAACACTTAAACTATAGGAGTAATATGAGGGTTATCTGAGACTATAAACATAAAGTACTGATCTGTGTGCCAGACAAGATAACAGAAACTCTGGTAGAAGTATCTTTATCATTGCTGTTAATATTAGAATTATTACATTTTAGGGCCAAAAATGTCATCTGAAGACATACAGACTAATGTTTTGAAAGGGGGAACTTTTGTCTTCCTGAGTTCTCAAGCTCTTTGAAAAATGACAAATCATTCTATGATATTAAGCTTTTACCAGAATGAACTACACATGGATAAAAAGAATATTATAAAGAAATAAACTAAGTCTAGTTTTAAAATCCCCCCCCCCCGACCCCACTAGGAACAGTAGTGGTGAAAATACTACAGCTCCTTAAAGTAAATAGTGCTGAAAAGAATGACAATGGCATATGGCTGGGGGAATATTCCAGAGAGACTACTCAATGCAGCCATCCCCTGTTCTTTTCTCTGCCTTTTAAGGTCATGGTAACATGATAGAAAAATCTGGGACTCACACCATCTGTCTAGACAGTTCTATCACTGCTCATTTCTCTTGTTAAATAATCAGTACACTTCACACTTCCCAAACACTGCTACTATAAAGAGCATTTAAAGCAGAATGAGAAAAGCTTTTTCTATCCAGAAACATAGTGGTTAGAAATGAACAGTTCTTTGGAGGCTTATGGATTTCAGATCATGTCAGTGAGGAGAAAGAAATTCAAGCCTTACAAAGAAGTGTAAGAATAAAGGACTATAATATTAGTTCTAGGAATTATCTTCCTTAGCAAAAAAGGTGACATTCTCATATGAGTTCTCTAAGAATAGATGTGGCAGTTTAGCATTGAGATCATTATATAGGTTTCTAATCTGCAAAATTTCATAAAACTAAGAAGAATGCTTTTTCTTTACTACTAGTAGGAGCAGTAATAATAACAGTAGCTGATAATTACTTAGCACTCAGGACATGCTTAATACCGTTCAAAATGCTTTTTGCATATTAACTCAATCATTAAAACCATTCAGTGTAGTGTTTTCTATCATTACTGCCAATTTACACTTGAGGAAACTTAGGTACAGAGAGACAAAATAACTTGTCCAATATAAAACATCTGGGGAAATGTAGATTTTGGATTTAAAGGTAGGCAGTCTGGACCCACACCTTTCATTTCATGTGATCTTATCTTACACGTTTTTGTTTTTTTTTTAAGCCTCTAAATCACACATTTCAATTTGAAAATCTTTATCATATTTTAAATAAACAAACTGTGACTGAATGTTAAAACATCATCTCCAGCCCTCCCTGGTGGCTCAGTGGGTTAAAGGAGAGCACTAAGAAGCCTAAGCCACTTCCGCATGAGTTTGATTCCCGCCTGCCCCAGAGGAGATCCTCATGGTGTGGTAGACCTCTCCTGACCCGCCTCATTAGTGCACTGCTCCCCACTCTGTCCTTGGTGAATCCTCTCACCCTCCACATCTCTGGCCTGTGCCCCAGTTCTGTATGAGTAAATAAATAAATCTTTAAAAAACACACACACACAAACATCATCTCCATTCACCTAGCTAGAGAACCTCAATTAGATACTTTTTAACTTACTAATTTTTGCCATACTCAGTATGGAGTTTGTTGTTATAAGGCAAAACAATTTTTTTATACTTAACAGAAATTTCAAGAATATGCTCAGGAATCTGTGTCAATTTTGGTATATTTTATGAGTTTGAGAAAGAAGTTGGGTTACTCTCAAGGCTCCTATACAAGTTTCAGTTTATATGAAGACTCTGCCTTCAAATGAAGACTGAGTGATCCCATAGGGTATGTTAGTGCCCCCAGGAGAAACCAATATGAGCCTAGAATTCCTCTTCTTTGTTACAGAATATTCCCCATTGTGCCCAAACTCAAGCGTATTCAATGATAGAAGCCCCAGTGTAAGCCATTTGGTGAAGTAAATTTATGCTACTGGCCATATAACTACCATAATAATGACAGTGATGATAGGAATCCTTACATTAATAATATGAGATAATGACCATTTCATGGTAATTTAATAACTCAAGCATTATACTCAGTGCTTCACACTGTCAGGTGTATAACGAAGACATTGGGGAATACTGGTTGAAAACATGAATTCAAGAGACAGGCTACTCACTCATTCCTTCACTTACTTATTGTGTGATCTTGATCAAATTACTTAAAATCTCATTCCCATTCATTTCTCTCTCTTTTCCCCCCACTCTCCCGTCTCTCTCCTGAGAATAAGCCAGTTGTATCAGAAGGGGGAACAGTAATTCTAGTCATTTTTGTTTCTTATCAAATTGACTATAGCTGCATTAAGGAAAGGATCAAAAATGCCAATCTAACACACTTGTTTCATCAATTCTGAGACATTTTCTCCTTAATTTTTCCATTTGGGAGCTAGTGTCTTAATATTACAATTAGCAGTGATTTTTTACTTTCTTAGAAGTTAGTAAAATAGTGGAGCATCTTATAATCAATATCATCTTACATTTGACAAAATATGGTAGCCACTAAGGCCCATGAGCATCCTTTAAGGATAATTCTCAGTTTATGCTCAGATATTGCCCAGCATTTATGACCTCACCCCAGCTCAATCTCTTGAACTTTTACTTTACCTTGACAACTTCTTTACTGATCCTTAGCCATCCCCATCAGATTAGCAAGCTTCTGCAGCTATGACCATTAATCAGAGTTTTGGGTCAGGCTCTAGGCTTCATTTTTGGTGTTTCTGTTTGTGGCTGGTGACAAAGGGTTTATAATCACAACAATTCTTTGGACCATTAAGCCCAGGGACACTGCTCCTTACAGGCTGTCCTTACATGTACTCTTCACTCACAACTGTCAGTGAGCTCTAACGAGTAAGCAGAAGTATTAACTACTAGTGGGGACTTGACAGTCTCTCTTTTTAAAAAATTTTAGCTTCTGAAGTCATTGCTATAGGCCCTTTTGTAAGTACTTATCTGATTCATACTTAAATTTTTTTCCTGTTTTGGCCTGAGTGCCTCCATTCCACATATGGTCAGTCTCTTCATAGAAGAAAAAAATATCAAGTTTTATATCATCCTTTCCCTGGAAAGATAGTTCCAAGCTGTCTTCTACCTAGAGGGAAGATGACAACCTTCAAAGACTGAAATAAAGGAAATACACTTTTCATTAAAAAACATTACATTTGAGGAAGTATTAATTCTAACAAATGATTTTTCAAGTCGCACACCTGGCAAAACTGGAATATGTTAGTAGCCTGCCATCATTTGAGTTCTTTAAGTGAATATAAAATAAGTTTGTATCTTCCAGTTGGTGACAACTCAGAGTAAATAAATTACAGTAGTTAAATTATCATTTCACAGAGTACCCTGTTCTGAGCTCCTTTCTGAAAGAAGGAATGGAACCATCAAAAAAAAAAATGATTCCCTTTAATAACCAAATAAAACTATCAGGAAATAAACCATGACAATCAGTAACATGTACTTAAATAAACATGGTATTACAGAAATTTACATACATAACAAATTTATTATATTATATATTTGCAAAAAGAAGAAAGTTAAAAAAATAGGGGAAAATTTCTAGCACAATCTCTAAAGAAATAGCCTATGAATAATAATGTCTTCATTGGATTCCGTGCACCTGTCTGCTATGGCTCTAGAGGCATAATAACTATCTGTGTGGCTTTTCCCCCTCTCCATGAGACAGTGAGCCCCTTGAGGGTAAGGACCATATTTTATCCATCTTTGTGTCTCAGGTGCGATGATTGTGTTAGGCAAAAGTGAGTTGCTGCGAAAAGGCTTTGCCAAATGATTAGCATTCTATTCCTTTGACTTTGATCTTAAGAAAATGTTATATTAATTTTTAATAAAAGATAAATATTTTATTACTTTTAATAAATGAGAATGATTATAATGAGGGAAGTAACCTTCCAGTGAGGAAACATTCTTCTACTTGTTTTTCAGGACAATATCTCCCTGGAAACAGGCAGATTAAGAGCAAAGTGATTACCAAAGATCAAGGGCTTAGTGTAGAAGAATCAAATTGTCTAAAGGGACTTTGTCTGAACCATGATGAACTATTTTTAACTGGTTGTGGCCTAGGAAAAGTGAAATAAACATGCAATCAAATAATTATTTGAAATAATTCGGTAGTTCTACTCCTTAGGAATCAATGGATGTGTCTTGTTAAGTGAACATAAATTTAAATATCTCATGAGAAATGATATAACTTCAGGTAGGGCAGGTGAGAATACTATTTATTAACTATAAACTATGTTCTCTTAGTTATACTGTGGCCAGCATAATAGCAATAAATTAATCTCTAAGAGTCCAAGGTCTTCCTGTTTCTCATAATACTTAGAAAGCCATATTTTTAGTTTTTCACAAATATTGGAGAAGTTACAAGTGGTAACAAGTTTTGGTTGAACTCATCCTGGTCAAGAGTGAGTGATAAAATGAAATATGCAATATTCTTCACTTTTGAGACTTTGTACTTGCAAAGTAATGCTGATTTTTATCACTGACCTTCCCAAATTTATGTTTGAGTGGAAGTCCTGCATCCTGAAATGCTGAAATTATATCAGACTTGTAATCTTTGATAAAAATTCCTAGGTCGACATCTTTACTATAAGGAATAATGTTGCACTGCCGATACCATCCTAAAAACAAAAAAGAAATAAACATAGGATTGAAAAAAATTTAAAATTAGTGATTGTATCATATAATATCTGTAAGATATTATTTCACAGGATTAGATTTAGGATGCGTTACCAAAATTATCTTTTAAAATGTTAAAACCCAAAATAAAATCCATGATTATGGGGACCATCTGTCAAAAAACCTATCTTTGTTTATACTGATCTTAGCACTTGGCACCCATTAAAACTTTTGTGATATATTTTAATTCTTAATAAACTATTAGCCTTAATAATAATGTTAATTGGGCCACCCACTAAAAATATTAGATTACTGGCTTAGTGTTGTAACATACATATCAAGAGGTATGGGCTTATACTACTTAACACATATGCAGTTTTGTAAAGCAGTGTTGCTTTAATAAAATAAATAAATTTTAAAACTTAAGATACTTTTTCTGGAGCCCACTCTGGTGGCACAATGGGTTAGGATGCAACACTGCAAGCCAGCCACTGCTGTTCAGTGCAAGTTCGATCCCTGGCCCCAGAGGTGATCCACATGGCGCGGCAGACCTCTCCTGACCTGCCCACTGCCTCCCTAAGCAGTGTACTTCGTTGATCTGCCTGTTCTGCTCCCCACTCTGTCTCTGGTGAGTCCTCTCACCACCCCTGCACCTCTGTATGTCTAAATAAATAAATCCTTAAAAAAAAAAAAGGATACTTTTTCTCCCCATTCATTTATACACAGCAAGTTTACTACAAAGAATAAGAGAGATGCCTGCATAGATACAGGTGGGTAGTTCTAAAGATAAGAACCTCCGAAATTAAGATACTTTTCAGAAAGTTTAGTCATAAACTTCAAATGATGGAGACTAACTTATTAAAATATGCTAAAAACATAATTATTTTGTTTAGCTAGTATTCCTTCCCTGAGTAGTAATTTGTAGAATTTAACAGCTCTGAACAGATTGATCTGTTCAAATGGGCCATACAAAAAAAGCAGGGCAGTATTAATTGCAATTTTCAGCATACTGTCAAAGATAATTCTAAATATTTACTATTTATCTATTTTCAAGTAGGTGCTACAGCATTATTCTAAAGCATAAAATGTATACCTTGTTACTATAATGTATAATAACAGGGCCTCCTCTATTATCCTTCTAATCCTACCATCCAAATTATTTTAAGAATAAATACATTTATAACTACCTTTACAAGCATTGTTTATTGGTTAATATTGTTTGAATTCCAAATTTTTAAATTAATATGACAGAGACCTATTATTTTCCTACCTCTAGTTTGAGAAAAATCTATAATCCGTATCTATCAAAGAATCATGAAATGTTAAAATGGAAGACTCCTTAATATCATTTAATCTAACACCCTCGTTTTATGTGTCCTCAAGTCAAGAAAATCACAGGGCTAAGAAGTAAAAAAACAAACAAACAAATAAACAAACAAAAAACACCTTAACATGATTAAAAAGAATTTTTGATGATACAGTCCATAAAACAATCTTGTTTCCAAAAGTTAAACCTTAAAATTAAGACTTATATTACATAAATATATGAGATGTACTTTTTTTTTTTTTTGGCTTATTCTAGCTGTAAGTTCCTTAACACAAAACCCAACAGATAGTGTAAGCATAAATTCCAGTTTATTTCTATTGTACCAATAATTACCAGTGGCATTTTATTCTTTCATTCTCAAGTTTCTTGAACTGGACAACAACTTATATAGCAATGTATAAAAACAGAAACAAAATTAAGCTTTATACAAATACAACTGCAATCAAGAAAGAATATGCACAGTTAAAATCAGCTATAGTTAAGAGAACAAGCAAAAAACAGAAGAAAATTTATGATTTTATGTAATTACAAATACCAAAAGAGTTTGGTTTAGTGGACTGTGTTCAGAAATCTTTCCCAAATTCTAACCGCATTTGTCTAAAGACTCTAGATAAGACTATATTTCACCATTTCAGACTCAAAAGACTATATAAGGCAGTGATGTCTAATCAGTGACAATATTCAATGACCTAGAAAGGTTTATGGAGACACTCCCTTTTATCATCCTTCCATTAGAATCTTGTGGTGCAATACAAGCTGTCTGTAAGATATGTAAACAAAGAATAGAATAAAGTTCTTTAAAAAGTGCAATAATAACCTTTGGGATAGAAGTAATAAAACAATATAGATGAACTCAAAATCATTATCAGTCTCTGTATTCTGATATGACATAAATTTTATACACATTAGTCACAACAACTTTTGGTCAATACAAACATGGTCTTCCTCACTATTTTATGTTTCTCAAATTAACTTCTTTTAAACAAATCAAGAAATCCTTTCTCTATGCACAATGTTAATCCTGCCTATAAGTGACACTTCAAATGTCATTGAGGTTTTGTCATTTCAAGGAGAATTCTCTATATTCAAAGAAGATGAAATGGCAAAACACACATAAAGTAAGAATTTTACCTAGACAAGTTCCACTGCTCAGCCAGAACCGTATCCCCAATTTCTTTAGTGTTTTGGCTGCTAGTTGCAACAATTTTTTTGCACTCTTCCGAAAGGTCATAGCTTCCACAGTGTTATCATCAAGGTACTGCTACAGATAAAATAAGCAGATTACTAAAGCCATTTATAACTTATAAAAAACATTTCCATAACATCTTAATTAAATTTGAAACCTAACCCCTTATTACATCTTTTTAAAAGATTTATTTACTTATGCATGCAAGAACTGGGCTATAGGCCAGAGGTAGAGGTATGGGAGGGTGAGAGGATTCACCAGAGACAGAGTGGGGAGCAGAACAGGTAGATCTACTGAAAAGCACTGCTGAGGGGAGCAGCTGGAGATATAGGAGAGGTCTGCTGCACCATGTGGGTTAGTTCAAGGGCCAGAGATTGAACTCAAACCATTGTGGCTGGTGATAACTTGATAGAGCTGAGACTTTGACCTCTGTACAACCAGGGAGGCCCTATTACATATTTATTGTATTACAGAAATCAAGTTTCAGAGTTCTTTGTTTAAACATTAAAATAAGACTACAGAAGTAGATTCTAGGAAGGACAAATTAAAGGGAAAGAATACAGCCAGGATTCCCAGTGGATGAGAATTACATCTTTATCAACTCCCTTTCCACATCACAATTTAGCAAATTAGGTAGTTGAGGGGGAGGAGAGAGGCTAATTATGAAAGCCACAAACATATCCAAAGGAAAATGAATTCAATTTCCATCCATTAATCACTGATTATTGGTCTTCAGAGATGTATAGTATCGATAGCATGAGTCTGGATTTTGATCAGATTATCTGTGTTCATGTCTGGCCTCATTTCTTTTTAGCTGTGTTCTTGAGCATATCATCTGAAAGGAGTATACGTTCTATGAGGAAAGTGGCTTCATTCTTGGTCATCACTATCTCTAGTACTTAAAACAGAGCCTGAATACCTGTTGAATGAATGAGAGAATGACAGGATAAACTTCTCATAGATATCGTGTCCTCGTCAGTAACGAAAGAATAATTACTATGAAGATAATAGATGACAGAAAAATGCCTATGGAATTCTGAAGTTCTATCCAAATAGAATTTAGTCTTCTTGCTTTGCTGATTTTCTTCATTTTTAGAATATTCTAGAACTGAGGGAAGCACAAAGGTAGTGAACTGATGCTTCACTACCTAGGGGACACAATCTAAACTTGCATGGTAGACATTTGTGCTTCAGGTCCATCTCTACCCTACTCACATCGTACAGCATGAACTCATATTTTCCAAGTAGATCATAATTTTGTGAGCCACTGTGCCTTTATGAGTATTGCTTTATCTGTCCGAAATGCCCTTGACTAACAAAATCTTGCAGGTTTCAGTTCTACTTCTGAGACACATTCTTGGATTTGTCTGGAAAGATGCATTTATCCTCCCAGTGCTCCTCTTCAGTTCATTATCACAGACCAAAGAATTATGTTTACTTATCTATAGCAATGAAATCATCTGCTTATCTTAGATAACTGTTAATAATAACCACGTATATTAATCTATACTTATTTTTTTACTGTAATTCTTTAATGCTAGTTATCAATTTTACCTGTACTTCTTTTCCAAAGTTGTAAAGGTGATTCTGTGAGGGTAGGTACTAGTCCCTTGATAACTGTACTTACAAATTTAGTGAGTAACACAGATTGATAAATGGGTACATAAATGACTGACTAAGTCTCTCCCATGCTTACACTCTTTGAAAACATTCTTTCATTCTTTTATGACATAGTATGAAGAAATACAGTTTCTAGAAGAATCTGATAGACATTAAGTAAGAAGAAACACTAGGAAGTGAAGCTCCTAAAGATAAACTGACTTCTTCAGAACATACAAATTATTTGGGATCCTTTCAAGTGAAAATATCTTTAGGTTATAACTTCTCACATAACATGTGGTTGGAATGAAAATGCATGTCTTTATCCTTGAAGTTCGAAGTTTGGAGACTCAGGATTTGTATCACAATCAGTCAATAGTGACTGTTTCTAGTATCTTGAAACCTAAATTTCCTTATCTGTTATAGACAAGTATTTGCCTTCTTTTAGGGAGTCACTGAAAGGATCATAATGAATCACAGGTATCAAAACATTGCACGTTATAGAAAAATTATTCTTACAGCTATAGCAACTGAAACTGTCCCTTATGTACTCAAACTTCCACCTTTACCTAACATAACACTCTCAGAAATTGCAGTTCTTAGAAGTGAGCTTTATATGTGTGAAAGTGCATACACATATACTCTTACACATTTTTATATATGTTATGGGCTCTATATAGCATACATACATTTTTTTCATTAAAAATATCTTACATACCCTCCCTGGTAGAGCAACGGGTTAAGACGCAGCACTGCAAGCTAGCCACAGCCACTTCAGTGCAAGTTCGATCCTGGGCTCAGGAGGTGATCCACATGATGTGGCAGACCTCTCCTGGATCGCCCACTGCTCCCCTCAGCAGTGTACTTTGTAGATCTGCCTGTTCTGCTCCCAACTTTGTTTCTGGTGAATCCTCTCACCATCCCAGTACCTCTAGCCTGTACCCCATTTCTGTATGCATAAATAAATAAAATTCTTTTAAAAAAAAAGTCAGAGGGCTATTTTCTAATATAATTATATTAGTTCATGGCTGATATACACCAGTTCTATTTAAAACTGTTTGGCGCCATCAAGTGTTCAAAGTATAAATGCTCACTTTAATTTGAAAACAGATACTGGTTTTTTTTTAACACAGTTCTATCATAAGAAATGCTTAAGAATGAAACATTTAGAAGGGTTAGGATAAAAAGGATATCAGCAATATCAATATATTAGCAGAAGACAAAAATAAATGAGGAATCACATTATTCATTTTGCCACGTTCATTCATTTTTCATGATGAGAATGAACACAAAGATCTAGTCTGCACCAGTTCTAGTGCTGATCCTAGACAGCACTAGTCTTGCTATATGATAGCACTTTAAATTCCAAAATTATGAGCTACGATTACCTGATAAATCTCAGAACATCTATCACCCACATTCCTTACTCAAATGCTGACTGAGTGCTTAGCTTTAAAATTTCAAAAATAATCATAGGATTAAATTTAAAAATATACAATCCTTATGATGTCTCTATATTTTGAAACATTTACATTTTTACTACCTTTTCACAAAGACCAATAAAATAAGTCTTGGGAAGTGCTGCTAGGTACTGGAGTAGTCCTAATAAGTATTCATTAAAAAATCATTTGGCTTGGATTAGCACCTAGACTCCAAGCAGCTTTCCCTAATTATAGGGTCTCGTCTCTGTGCCAGGTACTACCCACTAGGTAGTAGGACTACCCAAGTGAATAAAACAAAAACACCTACCATTGTGAAGTCCACATGAGCTAGTAGGAAGATGAGAGAGACATTCAAAATTCTCTGTGATAACTATGATAGAGGCAGCAACCAAAGCAAACTCCCTTTACACAGGAAGAGTGGGCGGTCAAGTTCAAGCACCAGAGCGCACTACTCCTGATTCCTGCTACTATGTCGTGGGACATGATACCCAGCACTTGCCTACTGGAGTATGTTCCTCCACACAAGCAGTTTTCCAGCTTTTCATATATGAGGCTATTTGGGCAAGTTTCACAGCTCATAAGTAAAGATTTTAGGGGCAGGATGAGGATGTCCCACTTGGGTTCTAACACAATCTACCAGAAAAACCTTGCATTTATGTGCACTAAACCCATTGCATTGGCTGGTGAAGAGAAGGCTGTTATTTCATTTGCCACACTATAGACAGCTTTCTTAGAAGACAACCCCAGAAAGTAAAAAATAAGTGGAAAGGTTTGCATACTAAAACCCCACTATAAATGGGACTGTTTCACTGTACCCAGTGTTATGTCATCTCTTAGAGATGAATTTCTATGCCCTTCAAAATCATACTTATATCCCCAGGGTCAGCAGAGTTCCTGGGAAACAGGCTTTCAATAAATGTTTATTGAATTGAAAGCTAGAGCAGTAGAATAAAGTAAAGTTCAAAAGCACTTGGTCTTTGTGTAGCATTTATCTTCAAAAACCTTCATAAAAACTGCAAAAAAATTCATATTCAGAGCCAACCCTCTGAGAAAAACTGTATTTTTATGAAATCTTTTCTAAATCCACATAGTCCACCTTCTACAGTGGCTTCATCCTATTTAGACTGCTTCAAAAATACAACACACCATCTTTTATAAAACCTGTGGGCTGTCACAACTGAAAGCAGAAGCCTGTGCTGAACCTACCAAAGTCCATCCAAACAAAACAAGGCCTCCATAAATATCAAACTACTCAACTAGGGAAGGAAAAGTTTAAGACTAAGTTAATCTATTCTAAAATAATTAAAACAATCTAGAAGAAAATTCATGAATCAAAAAGGCATTTCCTTACCTATTTTCTGTAAGTCCCTTCATGTCTCCCCCAGAATATTAAAAATAAACATACTTCCTTTAATTTAAAAGGACAATATGCAGTTATCTCTAACCTGCAAGAATGCTCGAGCTTCTTTATACCGACACTCAATAAACCTAGAGTGAGGTATTTCTTGTAGAAAGTGCATTAAATCTTTTGGAATGAGAACTTCTAGTCCATCAACAGTAAGTTGTTGTAACTCTGGCCTGAAAACAAAAGTTAAGGTTTTTTTATAAGGACTTATCTCAGAATCTTTCAAGTTTCTTTAAATTTTACAACATAAGCAAAATAACTAACCATCAAACATGTTTTCTTCTTTTAGAACAGATATTAAGCTATAGCTTTAACCCAGGTCTTTAAAAAGAACTTGAAAATCAGACATCAATCAGCAACTTAACTTTAAGCATTTTAAAACATTTTTACAGTTACCAATATATATATTGACATTGAGAACACAAAGGAAATGCAGGTGACAGAGATATAAACTACCAACATTCTTAGCATTGAAGCATTGAGTAAATTACAATAGTTTGAAAGTCTCATTAAATTGCAAAATGTTAATCTGAGACTTGTATGACTGACTTTGGATACTGTATTCTCAAGTATTTCTTGATGTTTTCTGTTCCTCTACATGAAATACTACAATGTACAGCGAGAATTTTGTCCAGAGATTGGAACATATATTTTTAATAAATTTCTATTGACTGGCAATTTTGAACTTCACTGAATCACTAAACTATGAAACACATGTTTTTTATTTGTGACTTGTTCAAGTTTAACTTTTTTTTTTTTAAGATTTATTTATTCATACCGAACTGGGGTACAGGCCAGAGATGTGGAAGGTGAGAAGATTCACCAAGGACAGAGTGGGGAGCAGAACAGGCAGATCGACGAAGTACACTGATGAGGGGAGCAGCGGGCAGGTGAGGAGAGGTCTGCTGTGCCCTGTGGGTCACCTCCCTGGCCAGGGATTGAACTCATGCTGAAGTGGCTTTAGCTTCCTAGTGCTGAGCTTTAACCCACTGCACCATCAGGGAGGGCCCAGAAATAAATTTTTTTTTTTTTAAAGATTTATTTATTTGTGCATACAGAACTGGGGTACAGGCCAGAGGCTCAGGGGCGGTGAGAGGCTTCACCAGAGACAGAGTGGGAAGCAGAACAGGAAGATCGACGAAGTACACTGCTGAGAGGAGCAGCGGGCGGGTCAGGAGAGGTCTGCCACGCCATGTGGTCACCTCCGGGGCAGGCGGGAATCGAACTCATGAGGAAGCGGCTTTAGATTCTCAGTGCTGTGCTTTAACCCGCTGCGCCACCAGGGAGGGCCAGAAATAAATTTTTAAGTCTTAAGCTAAAAGAAAATATCTCCTAAATGATTAAAAAAAAAAAAAAGGTGTAAAGATGGTAAAAAGAACAACAGTTATTAAAATCTGATTCAGATCAGAAAAATATGTTGTTTTAGACACACAAAAAATCTGATCTCTTATGAATCAAATTTCAAACCCATATAGATTAGCAAATGTGAGTTTGGTTTTTGCTTACATTCAACTCTGTGTTTTTATGTAACAAATACCAAAAGAGTATAAAGGCCGAGGCGTAGATATCTTATTTAAGCAAAAGAAAATTAGAAGCTCTTTAACTAATTAGTATCTGGTATCTACTGGAATATTATATAGAGAATAATCCATTCTGACTAGGCAGATTTATCTGTGACTATGGACTTCAATCACTCTCTACTGATTTTAAAATACAAATAACATAGATAGTAAGTGAAAATGACAGTACAAAACAAAAAGGAAAGCTCTTTCTCTCCTCACCCAAAACCCAGTGCCTCTCCTGTCCATATTACCTGAAGGTGCTTAATGAAGAAAATCGGTATACATTTTAAAATTTTAAGAATTCAAAGACAAAATATTAGGGACACTGCAAAGAGACACTAGTCAAGTGCCATGTTCCACTTCCCCTGTAGCGTGTGCTCTGCTCTTCAGTGTTTCATGTCCTTCTTGACCCCTCTTTTTACCTGCTTCCCTAGCAAGACTGTATTCCCAGTCTCGCCATCTTCACTTCCCTATCTTGTGATCTTGTGTACAAAAAAGAGTAAGAATTCAGAAGAGGACAATATACGCTTCACATTTCCTCTCTCTGACATGAACTTACCTGTCAAAAGCTCCTGGATAACGACCAAACTGTAACTTTCGAAATGGAACAAACTTTCGGTCGATGTGTCTTTTGAGCCGTAGGTGGCCATGCCAGAGGTAGTTGCCACTTCTCTCATGAAAGACCACCAAGTGGATAGCGTGAGCGGCCAGTCTGCAGATGTAGTGCAGGGGGATTTCAGTTCCAGAAAGTGAATCTATTCCATCTAACCGTGGGTCTTTGCTCTCTATCTTTAGGCACTGAAATCCCATATTTTCAGCTATCCGAAACCAGCCTTCCTGGAGTCAAAGAAACATCAAGTTTAAATATTTAAAACAAAACACTACTGGTAAAACTAAAGTGATTCTTACAGTGAATTAAGCCAGGTTATTTATGTGCTCTTTTTCCTGAAGAATTAAAAATGAGGGTATGAAGGGAAGAAGGTGGTAGAAGAATAAAGAAAAGAATCAAAAGAGAAATTATTAAAACATAGCATGGGAGATGTGTTCAGACTCTCTCTGTAAATATTAACACAAATTTCTTCCTTGAAATGAGAATACTCATTGTACTTGTCTCTGGTTAGCATCTATAAAGTAAGGGTTAATGCAAGAACTGTTCCTTAAACTTGTAATTCTCAATTTAACTTCCCTTACCTTTATCTTCAAATGTGCTTTAAGTAAGCAGTGTTTCCATCTTATAGTTTTTAATCCAAGAACTTTAAACTTTCATAATGCAAATTATTAGAAAACAGACTGAGATACATTGTAAAAAAAGAAGTGCATTTTCCAGCATCACTAGTAAGAGTACACATCTCATATAATAAGATTAACCTATAGGGTAAATTCATAGTCCTAATCTCAACAACCAATGTTATAAACAATTAAACAGTATTAATCAGTCTGAATATATTACATCTGAATAGTAATTTACACATTCCAAGGAACTTCGTATAAAAAATATAATACTATTTTATAAATTAAGTAGCACAGGGATTATAAGAAACAGACTCACAAAAGTTTAAAGAAATGAAGAAAATTAGTAAGAGGCAAAGCCAGTGTTTAAGTTTTATCCAACCAAGTGCAAGGTTCTTTCCATCATATTAAGGCTACCTCTCTATTCATTATTTACATATTATGTATAGAGCTCATTCACATTCATTATCTGATCTGACGCCCACAAAAACTATGTGCGGTCACCAGGGAAGTTACAGTTAAGGAAAACAGAGCTCTAGATTATAATACTAGAAATTAAGTCTATTAAGTAATGGAGCTGTGTCTGGAAACTTGTCTCCAAAATCACAGCACTCACAACCACTTTTCAAGTATTCTCTATTGATGCCACTTATTGCATTAGAATAGTTATTTGAATTTGCTGTATCTTTGTCTATGCTCTTGTAAGCTCTTGTAAACACATACAAACTTGTCATACTACTGATTCTACTGCTTGTTCATTGTTTAAACTTCATTAAAAGAACAGATTGCAAACTCTTCAGGAGTATCATTTATCCAGCAGGTGCTCAATAGAAATTGTAGTGGTTGTTATTATTATAGACTCAAGAGAAAGCAACTGGGAAGGTAACGTTAACTAGCAACTGCCTTCTTTCTGGCTAGAGAGCTAAAAACTGTATTTTGGTCAAGGATGTGAAAGGAAGTACCATATTTCACTTTCAGGCCTGGCTTTTCAATATCCTGTAGGATCTTCCATGCTTTCTCTCTTCCTTCTGTATATATAAGTGCAAATCCAAAATGGGCAAGTTACGTAAGTCAAGCACCCTGGGTCCCTAAGTCTCTGTCGAGAGGAAAAGTACCCATGAATATCCTTGACAAGAATGTATATATTGAATTTTGTATTCTGTTTTAAGATTTATTTATTTATTTATGCATACAAGAATTGGGATAAAAACCAGAGGTGTGGGGGCAGGGATGTGAGAGGATTCACCAGAGACAGAGTGGGGAACAGAACAGGGGGATTGATTGAAATACACTGCTAAGGGGAGAAGTGGGTGGAACAGGAGAGGTCTGCTGGCCATGTGGGTCAGCTCCCGGGCTGGGGACCAAACTTGTGCTGTAGCAGCTGCAGATAGTATCATAGTGCTGCGTTTAATGCGTTGTGCCACGACGGAGGGCCCACATACTGGATTTTGTAATAAAGACAATTTCTCCTTTTCTCGTGCTTGATCAATGATTTTAGCTTATTTGCTTTTGTTTTCAAAAAACAAAATACGCTTTCCCCTTGATTCTCCATATATTAGAATTACCAACTGCATTCTCCTATTCTCTTTTTTCCTTTCCTTTCTTAGTATACCTCAGAGATAGAATGTGCTGATTAGAGATGAGAATAATCAACTTGAGAGAAGGAATCTAACATACTGGGTGAAAGAAAGACATTGTAAGTTGGTAAATTCAGGAAAAATTTAAAGGGCCAGCTATGACCTTGAGGAGAATCAGACCTGCACTGTCTGTGTGTGTGATGCCTTTAAGCTATAACAATTATCTTTAAGCAGTGAGGAAAATGAAGAAAGAACTTCAGTGATGCAATCCCTCACATCAATGGATAGCTGCGAGAATACTAACAGCCACCAACCCTTCAACTTATTGTTACACATGGAAAATTAACTTAAACCACTAGTAATAGTTTTCTAGCACTAATAGCTGAAATTAACCCAATACAAATTATAAAAAAACTTTCGTGTTTCACATTTAAACTGACTTAACCCCACTATTTTGTAAAAGTCACATATTCTATTATCTGAAAGCAAATCACCTTACCTCATTCTTCCACAGGTGATACTGAAGTGCAAATGCAGTAAAGTCTCTCGGAGCACAGAAAAACTTGCATTCTGAAGTGGAGCCATAAGAAGTATTTTTGACTTGTTCCAAGTTTTTATTAATCATTTCCAGGATGAAAGGATCAATTAGGAACACTGGTACACTTTGGCTGGATGTTAACATGATAAATTTTTTAACTGCATGCTGTTTGAGAAGAAGACAATTTCCTTAATTCTACTAAAGCAACAAAACAATCTGTTTTCTAAAATATTTATTCATTAATTTTTAAAATGTGTATCATATTTACTCAATAACACCATATTCATTATTGTTCTAGAAAATTAAAAAAAATTTTTTTTCCTGCTCTCAAGAGGTATACAGTCTAGTGAGAGGCATGGATAAATGTTTATAAGGTAAAATATGCTATAATAAAAATATATGAATATATTGTAAAGTACAGAACAATAGGCCACTAATTAATTGTACATCAAAAGGCTGAGAAAGTGCTCACAGAGGTTTACAAATCATTGTTGGCATTATCTAAATCTTTAGAAAAATACCAAATTTTCCAGATTTTAAAATCAGTCATGTCATCTTTTTTGAAACCAAAAGTCAATTGTATGTGCCACCTTTCTTCGTATTTATAATATCGATTACTAATCTTTGTAAGCAAAAGCTCAGATTAAAATGCACTGCCTGCTTGATGAGTTCCATCTCTATAGTTTCATTTTCTAACAATATTACAATATTTTAAAATGTAATTCTACTGGACAGCAAGTGGGTTCCTCTACTGGAAAAAAAAAAGAATTTCAAAATTAAAAGCAAACTACCATACACTTAGGATTAAATAATACCTAAGAGCAGCAAAGATAAATAGAAGACTTGGTATACATATTGCTTCAGTAAAAGGAATAATGATTTTAAAAAGATGCATGCCCATCACAGAGGCACTTCATAGAATTAAGGATAAATTTTTATTCACCAAGTCTGAAGGATCTTTGCACATGCCAAGTAATACTTAACAGACAAGGATATCAAGAATTTTAAGAACAGGGGGAAATGAGGTAAAGCTAAGATTCAGTCTCTTATTTATTTTTAGTGTAGAAGATTATGGAAACACCAGGTATACTTGTGAAGCACTTATTAACTCTTAGACAGCTAAATAAAAAGTCAAAAAAAAGCAACTTTATGATAAAAACATTTAACAACTTACATAAAACAGATTTCTTTTAACAGACATTATCACATATAAGTTGCTTAATAAAAGTTTGTTAAATGGGTCTCAGCTTGGTATTAAATACAAATGTGATGAACATACTTATGATTCCATTATATAATATTAATATAAATATAGATAGGATAAGGTCTCTAGTTAAAAAGAAGTCAAAGATAGAAGTGCTTCCACAAGAAATATCTGGTCATATCCAAAATGGATAATCACAGAATAAATGTAACTTTTTATTAGTAACCTACTATTATTTTTCATTCTATTTATTTAGGAAAAAGGAAAGAAAATATATTTCATAAATGTACAGGCTCTGACGTTTATAGATCTTAACAGGGATATATTGCATATAACGCTATTTATAGTTTTCCTATGTAAAGAGGATATACTCAATAGATTTTTATTCCTAATCATTGTTTCTCCAATTCATAGTTCAATTCTAACTCATACACTTATTTATTTGGGAGGCACCACAGTTCAATGAGTGGGGCTTCTGGAGGTAAATAATTAGAATCTGGACTCAGCCACTTATTAATCAACTAGCCATAATCTAAGAGAATTGAGAACAATAATATATAATAATAAGCACTAAAGAAGATATAGCATGTATATTAATTGGCACAGGGCTGGCCTTTTCCCTTCTTCTACCTATTTTTACTCCCCACTAACATGGCTATTATCCCTATCACTATTCAACAAGTTTACATCAACAGATTAAATGAACATTGCTAATGAGGAATTTCTTGCTTCTAGTACATACCCACTGTGTGCTGTCAAATCCAATCTGGCTTCCTCTGGATTTTGATAAGCCAATTCCATTCTAGGAAAACAGCAAAAGAAAATTTAGTAAATTCAAAATTCCACAGCTAATAAGCAGTAAAGATAAGATTTAATTCCAGGATGGAGCTCATGCCTTTAGAAACTATGCTACATTGCCTCCTAGGAGAAAGAGTTAAGCTAGCAATTACTTATATGAGTTTAAAATAAGAATTAAGATGGGAATATTAAGTGCTATTAGAGTAACAGATTAACCATTTTGGAAAAACTGTAAGATATCTAACTTACATCTAATATTCAAATGAATTATATTTAGTTAAAAACATTAAACCTATCAATAAAACAGTATTTGGTGAAAATACAGGTTAAGTATTCCCACAATCTGTGTGTGACTACTTATGACATGAAAACCAGATGACTTTGGGGAAAAAGTTCTTGAAATCTTTCTACTTAGGTATAAAGTATATTTAATGTATTAAAGATAGTACGTTATGAATATAAAATTAAACTGCAATTTATAAACCAGAAAAAAGATTTTAAATAAACTATGAAGAAAAGAAATAAACATCAGTGCTCATAAAATATTTATGAAGGAGTTTAAAAAATAAGAAAAAGTAATAAAAAGAATTAGTAAGCACATGAAAAGCTGTTCAACCCCATTAATAATCAAAGCTAACTGAGCTTACTGTCTTTCAACTTCTGATCAGAAACATCAAAAATAAAACATGGATTTAAACAGGTTTAAAATCTGTCTCCACCACTTAATAAATGTGAGATATTGAGCAAATTAATTTATCACCAAATCTCAGGGTTTTCACCTGAGGAACCATAAGATCCGCTCAATTTGTTAAAAGAACTAAATGTATGCAAAATGCTTAGCATACTGCTTCAACCTATCAAAACCTGTCATCCGCTACAGTTCAACTAACCTACTACTGTATGGAACTAAACCTCTTCTGATGTGTAATCTGGTCGGAAACATTAAATAACACTAACAGGAAAACCCGGCTTTCCAAATTTTTCTTCAACCTGAAAATTTGCTGCTTAACGTCACAAAAGTGGAAGCCTACTAGCTTTCACTATCTTCTTCTTCTTGGGGTCTTGACTGTGCACAAGAAAAAACATTCAGAGAATTTTAGAGGCTCTGGACTTAACAGATATGAGATGAATGCCCTGATTTATTTAAGTTACCCTTAGCCAAAAGCATTGCACATAGAGATGCCATTACTACTGTTATTATTGTTGATACTGTTTTTATATTTGGAAAGGGTACAGGAAATTGGGCACCCCAACCTCATGAAGAGTAACTCTGCCATATGCAACGAAATCTAAAATGTGCATATTAGACCCAAAAATTTTACAGTAGGACTTTATCCTAAGAAACTAGAAAAAGATTAAACATGTCACACAAAGACTTTCCATAGAGCCTTCCCAGCTCATATCTTTCGTCTGCACACACGTTCCAACACAGCCGTCTGCCTGTCTAAGGATTTTGTGGTGATTTGTCTGTGCGGGGCAGGTTCCGTCTTGCTTTTCTGGAGTCCCGGGAGTCCTTCGCTTCCTTCGTGGCTTCTGGGCTCAGGTTACAGACTTGAGCAACTTCTGCCTTCTCTGCAAAAGGGGAGGATTCCCAGGCTTGGTGTGAGGTCTTTAGGCATGCGACTGGAACGGTTCTCCTGTATTGTCTTTCCGGGAGCCCAGCCGCCTATACTGGCCACTTTGGGGAGCCGTGGCCGCCAGGACCCAACGAGGTGGACCAGACCAAACCCCACATTTAGGCGCCCGCGATCCGTTAAGGGTCCCGCAGCCGTTCGCGCCGGTAGCAGGGCGCCACCTGGCGGTCGCTTTCCTCTAGCGGCTTCCCACCGGTGCACCGGCCCGGCGGCGGAGGAAGGGGATTTGGCCGCCTCGTTGCACAAAGCGGAGTTCCAGCTCAGCTGGCAGCACGAGCCGGATCTAACCGACAGTGAAGGGTGTGAGCTAGTCGTCAGACGCTGAAAAACTGTACATGCAGCTATGGCCGTGCTCTCGGATTCGCCTGGGATTGCAGGCCGCTCGAATGGATCAACCACTGACCCACGGATGACCTGCTCCCCTTCCTCAGCCCCATTCAACCTGGCACCCGCACAAAGCCCCGCCTGCCTGACAAGGGATCTAGAGCAGGGACCTCCAGCCGGGTTATGTGAAGTGAAGTGGATGGTGTGCCACCAGTGCTGCGGAGGCCCCTGTTGAGACCCCGAACCTCGAGAAAAGTTTCTTTTCTCTAAGTGCAAGATTGGGCATTGGGCCTTGAGCCTTGAGGCTCCAAGTCCATAGTGGAACTGCCTGTCAGGCATGGGCCCAGAACTGAACCCATTCTTGCTTGCGGGGTAGCCATCCATGTGGTTCAAAGTTCAAGGTTGACCAGCTGGTCAGACCAACACTCAGGCTGATTTTGTGGCCCCAATTCCAAGGTTAAGAAGCCAGCCAGCCTCAGACCCAAGCATGGGCTCAGCTTGAAGACTCCTATGGTCGACCAGTCTATTGACTCAATCTGGAAGCTCCTGAGGTTGACTTGCCAGCCGGACAGGACCAACGCCCGAGGTCTGAATCTTGCTACCTAATCAACCTCTGATGCAAGAGTCCTGGTTGACCTTCTGAGCCTCCAGGCAGGGCCATCCAGAAGGTCAATTGCAGGAGACTTCAAGCCAAGTCCTAGTTTGGGTCCAGTTTCTGCAGACTGAGCTTCGAGGCCAGAAGCTTAAGGCCTGAACCTGGGTCCAGGCCTGTGTCTGGCTGTCGAATGAAGTCTAAATTGGATCAGCAAGGCCTGATGCAGAGTCCAGTTGGCTGGGTGGTCAATCTCGCTAACCTCCAAGCCAAGTCCATGTCTGGGTCTGGTTCCTGCCTACTAGTCAACAGATGACTGGCTAAAGTTGTGGTATACTCAATGGAAGACTACTCAGCAATTTTAAAAGATGAACTCTTGCCTTTTGTGATAATATGGTCTGATGTGAAGATCCCTGCAATCAGCAATCAGACATTAGCATGAAGCATAACCAGAAATCAATTTTGTACCACTGTCCTATAACTATTTTTTTTTTGACATCTGACCTCTTCCCTCTCTACTGTACTACTCCCCTATAGAAGCTGATCTTTACAATGGGATTAGATGAGCAAAGAAACACTCTTTACCTTTGCTGATAAATAGTATTTGTAGTAGTACAACTGGAACAGTAGAAATGCAGAACTTGTCAGAGTTAAAAGGGCCAAAATCACGTTCTTATTGATTCTGCTCATTAGTCTGCAGTGTGTCCTTGGTCGTTTTTTGAAAGTAACTCAGTTGGTTTCATCTTTTTGGATAAGAAGATAATCTTGTTTTCTGTGAACAAAAAGATATTTCTAAAGAGACAAAAACCTGTTTTTAATTCTGCCCAGCTATTAAACAGCCAAGAGAACAAAAATAAGTTATCCAAAATTTTACAGTAAGAACATTCTTTGATTTAGTAATTTCTTATTCGAAAGAAATCATCAGACAAAAGATCAAAGATGAAAGGACAAAACCGTTTATTAACATGGCAATCTTAACAATTATTTAACTGAAAACATAAATGGGATATTAAAAAGCAACCAACAGAGATCGGGAATTCCCCCTTTTCAGCTCTGAATGTGCATTTCTGACAAGTTCCCAGATGATGCTAATATGCCCACTACAGAGAAATCAAGAAAATTTTGGACAGTGATACCTTCCCAACACTATGCTTTCCACAGAAATCTAGGCAGGGAACCATAGGAAAGAGGTTCTGAAGTAGGTCCCAGAAAATCTGGGGGGAAAAGGATACCACATCAAGATAACGGCTGCCATTGTCAGCCTCCCTAAGTGTGTCTCACACGTCTTTTCCAAGTGTCACTACATGTCTCTCCTCCACGTTTCTCCTTCCATGTCTTCTGCCTAGCAGTGTCAGGATGCAAGCTGAGCTACAGGAACAGAGCTCTCTCTTCCTGTAGAGCTGTCCTGCCTTCAGTGTTACGTAGCTTCTCCTGGCCACTAGTGCCACCCATGTTAAGTGGGGTGGGGAATGGGTACCTCCCCCCTTTATGGAGGTATACTTGTAACAAATTAATGACGCCAATGGCTGTTTACACATTTTCCTCATTATGTAGTCTTTCAGTTCATAGAGTCAACATTCTTTGTAGAAAAAAATTTTAAACTATATTTGAATATTTTTCTTTTAATGTTGAATTAATCCTTTTTCCAGAACTACTATTAAGCATGTGTTATCTCTCCTTTCATTCCCGTTTCACGTTGTTCAACTTTCAGAAACTTGTAATCATGTCCTTTACAGGGTTTTCAATCTAACTTTCCTTTTTGTTTTGATTGTGGCCTTTTATCTTTCTCCTTTTAGTTTCCTTTATTCGGCTCTGACAGACAATGATTTCCCATATACTATTCTATTTATTCCTAGTGCTTGAACCAATTAACTTTGCCTCTTAAAGCGATTATTTAATTAAATTTGTTAGGCTAGTGTAGTTTTCTAGAGTCTATTTATCACTTGTTTTTCCCTGTTTCTTTTCTCCTGACACCTTTTTTAACACCATCACATAAGTATTGTGCTCTCTTCATTTTTCTTAGTGTCTTTAAATGTGTTAGCTCCACCTGTATCAGTCATTTGAGAGAGGATTGTGGAAGGAAAACTCAAGGTCTTTATTTTTTTTTTTTAAAGATTTATTTATTTGTGCATACAGAACTGGGGGACAGGCCAGAGGCTCAGGGGCGGCGAGAGGCTTCACCAGAGAATGAGTAGGAACAGAACAGGCAGATCCACAAAGCACACTGCTGAGGGGAGCAGCGGGCAGGTAAGGAGAGGTCTGCCACACCATGTGGTCACCTCCGGGGCAGGCGGGAATCGAACTCATGTGGAAGCGGCTTTAGATTCTCAGTGCTGTGCTTTAACCCGCTGCACACCAGGGAAGGCCAAACAAGAGAACTTTTAATGAGAATGTGGTGCACATGTGTTATGTGTGAAACTGAAAGAGAACAACTCATTACTTTTTCCTGATATCAGAGACATTACAACTAGAACCTGAATCACAACGACAGTGAAAAAACAAGAGAAATTTGATATTAGAGATACTTTAGAGCTGAACTCAACAAAGTATCAAATTTTTCATTTTAAAGTGTTAGGTTACCAGTCCTCCCTGGCAAGTTAAAGCACAGCACTAAAAAGCTAAATCCACTTCAGCATGAGTTTGATCCCTGGCCCCGGAGGTGACACACATGGCATGGCAGACCTCTCCTGACTTGCTCGCTGCTCCCCTCAGCAGTGTACTTCGTCAGTAAGCCTGTTCTGCTCCCCACTCTGTCTCTGGTGAATCCTCTCACCGCCCCTGCACCTCTGGCCTGTACCCCGGTTCTGTATGCACAAATAAATAAATCTAAAAAAAAATACTAAAAAAAGTGTTAGATTACTACATTCCTAATGAAGAAATAGTACAAGCAAAACAGGAATGCTTGTCAAGCTAACATTCAACCTTTGAAATTGGATCACTGTGGCATTTATAGAAAATAAAGGAAGTAAATTGGACACCATCTTGATAATGAAAATGTAGTTAAATGATTGACAGTATATTTTCAATTTAGTCATACAACTTACTGTAGATTAGATATGTATCCAAAGAGAGAACAGGACATTAATTTGCACTTTATGTTTCTGTAATAGTTCTTATTGACTTTTTATGCTTTCTTTCCCAGCTATTAACTCAGGATAGCCTGAATGCCACTTAAGCTTCACTAGGAGTCAGTATACAACACATTGATGCACTGCTTAATACAAATACAAGAACTGAACTTAAATTTTGAAAATGAAGGGCATTATCTCTGCTACCCTTATCAAGAGTATTTGAGTATTTTATTTTGACAGGTTACAGATAACAAAAATGAAGACCATCATCAGTGTTTTGTGCTTCTGGTTTTTTAGTTTTAGGAGCTAAAAAATAATCACAATTTATTCAGTTCTTTGCTTTATATATTATCTATAGATGGAGGAGATTAGCATATCACTCTTGATATCATTTCCTAGTAGTTTGTTGACCTTAAATAACTTCTTATAAATGTTTGCTTTATGTAGACTTTAACTCTAGAATCTCATTTGAATTGTTTTAAAAGCCCAAACAAGACTTAAGATTTCAGCTACTCTAAGCCACAAAATGTCTAGTATCAATAGATGCTATTCAAATGACCCTGCATATTGCTGCTCTCCCATGTTGTTTATTTCCTTTGTTTCCACTAACTTCTCAAAAAAAAAAAAAAGTGTGTTAGTACCTGGAAGTAAAGATCAGGCTAAAAGAAGTTAAGAGGTCCCTTACTCTGCTTCACTCATTACTTCTTAACCTTTTGCAATATAACCTCTATTTCAATATTGATACTTGAAGATTAAAAAAGAAATCAGTCTCTCCATTTCATGCTCCAGGAAAGTTATAAACACATACTAACTCTTTTTCAAATGACAGTGGAGTAGTGAGGCTTTGGAAGGCAGCTATGCTAATCAGTATACCACTAATGCTGCACCAGTAATGAGGTTTTAAAAAGAGAATCTGAAATGATAGACCTAAATAGCAAAGACTAGGTAAAAAAGGAAATGAAGATAGGCCAAGTGGAGAAGTGGTTAGGTGAAGAAAGTGGTTAGCCTGATAAGCCTGCCATTCGTCCATGATATAAAATCTGGATGGATGTTTATCGACGGATGGTTGTTCCTTTACATTCTCTTGCTATTAATCATTTTATTAGTTATATTTTCCATTATCTACAGACTAATTACTATTTATAAATATTTTTTCACTAATGCTTTTCTTTATCCACACTGCTTTTTCCTCCCTATCAAACACAGCATAGGCTCTGAAGAGAAACTGCTCTGTCAAATCCTGCTCTTCCACCTGCAGATGTATGACCTGGCACAGGTTACTATGCACCCGAATGTAAAACAGATCTGTAAATTGTATCTGACTCACAGGGTTGTTCTAAGGAGTTAACAAATTAATACATCCAAAGTACTGATTAGCACTTACAAAGCAGTAAGTATTCAATAAATGTTAGCAATAATTAAGGATCAACTAAAAGATCTATTGGTAATTTCTTCTTTTCTCAGTTAAAGGACCTCTCCCATATATATGAGGATATGTACATATCTTCAACACTGAGTATTTGTTCTATTTATTTTTACAGTCAGCCTTAGTTTATAGTTCTTTGAGGCAAATTATCATATATTTTCCATATTCCCCTATTCTTACACAGGAGAATTCAAGCACAGGCCGATAGATTCAAAGGCAACTTTATACATTTGCTAGGCCGCTATTTCTCCAGAAGAGCTCTGTAGGGCTCTTGAAATGGACTGATGAATGAGAGTCACAGGAGGTGAAGAACAACAAATGAACTAAAAGCAGGGGCGACGAGAAGGCAGCATCAGAAGAGAAAAGGATGACTAACTAAATTACTCTATAAAATTAGTGCAGCTCCCCGCGGTCCACGGGAGTACGCCCCTCTTCCACAGGGCATCAAAGTCCTCCCCAGCCAGGACCTAACATTAACTCCCGCCACTCGCTGATCCTCCCCTTCTCTGCATTCCATCCCTTCGGCCATCAGCCTAACAGGCAGGTAGTGCTGACCAAACCCGGCCGTTCCCTCTAAGCTTCTGTACCTCGACACCTGCTGATCACACACCCGCAAAGATCTCCCCTCCCCCCCAGATCCCTTCCCAAATCTTGAGGTCAGCTCGCCCAAAAGGCATTACCCCAAGCCGGATCTTACAGGGCTCTCGACTGCCCTCCAAATGGAACCCGCTCCCAGGATGAGAATTTTACTTGCTAACCCGTCCAGCAGCGTGGGACAGACAGGCCGAACAGACGTCCACCCAGAGGTGCTGGAAGGCTGCCTCTCTAAGGAATACCATGCCCAGTGCGCGCTCAGCCTGGGGCCCGCCTCGGTGGCCGGGAAGAGCAGGTGCCCAGAACGCCGGGGAGACCCGCGGGACGCCAGACACACCTGCGAGATTGCCTGCCCACCCCCGGGACCAGAGTGAGCCTCCCACGCCTTACCTCACTCGGCCGCCGCGGCCACCCCGCTTTACGGCCCTTACAGCAGGTGCCGCAAAAGCTGCCGTCAAGCGCCGCGCCGCGGGGTCTGGTTGGCGGCCGGACGTTCTCACGGTATCGCCCCGCCCACCGCGGGTCCGCTTGTCACTAGCTGCGCTGGGGCGATTTCCTAGCTTTGGGGCTCTGCCACTTATCCGAAGCCCTTTCACCCGTTACCTAGGTAACAAGTACAGCGTTTCACTGAAGCAACCTGAAATTTTTGGAAGCGAAAGGTGAATCGGTGCGGCCCAGCGGAACTGTTTCCCGGAGTGTGTTTGCCAGATTAAAACATCAGACTTAAATGCAATTTTCAGTAAATAACGAGTAACTTTAGTGCGTGTGCTGTGCGGGGAGGGATTCAGAAACTTCTGAATTCTGGTTTGGGTAACAAGTGAGATGAAGGGGAAGTGGGGAGTGGCGGCTGCCTGTTATGACAGCCAGACTCCAGCGAGCCCCTGTACTCGGTTTTAGGTCTGGAAATAAACAGTGCCAGACCACGTTCTTTCAAGTGTTATCCTAAGGATTATTGTTCAGAATTAGACAAGAATTCTGACAGAAATGTGTAAGTCTACAAAGCACTAAACAAACCACCGTAATTTAACCTCTACAAAATTACTAGTCATTCCATAACATTTTTTCAGTAAAAATGGAAACTATTCCCTTACACACTTAAATTACGTTCCGAATTGTTATTGGAAAGATTTTTTTTTTCATTTCCTTGGTACTTTCACTAGGATTCTTCTTCCTTAAGATTTTATTTCGTGTTCCTGTTTGTAGCCCATTTTCCCCCACTTCTTCTCCCACAGTCTTCAGTTTGTTAATACCCAGAGGAAGTTATCAAGGATTAATGGGATTATTGGACACAGGTGCTAACTTCAGGAAGACAAGGTGGGAAAATTGAACATCAAAACAACTACTCATCAAATATATTAAAATTCTTGACATGATTCCTTAAAAAAATTCACTATTTATGGTTGATAGTTGAGGGCACTAGCTCATTATCCTGATATCTTGATTAAAGGAGGGGAGGGGAAACAAACATATACCTTTTTTTCTATGAACTGAAATTCAGTATGACTAAAGTGCTAATGAGAATTCCAGCTAATAAATGAAGAATGAATAATAGAATAATCACCATTCTGTCATCCTTAATGAAATACAAAGGACTGTATTTTCAATAAATGTCAAAATTAAGGTGAAGTGTTTGGCCGGGAACTTTTAAATAGATGGATTAGGCTGACACCAACAGAACCCACAGATTACTACTTTACTCTTGAGATAATCATGTACTTCCTGACATGAGGCAATACGAAGTACACACCACCACCAGTGCAGGATCTTGCCTTAAAAATGAACCTAGGTTCAAATTTAGAATTCTCAAGACATGTTAGAAAGCAACAGCTAAAAACTAGGTTCATCTATTCACCCCCAAGCCCAAATCTTTTTATTTCCAGTTTCAGTTTGCCACAAAATCCTAGTATGCACGTGTGGGGCCAGTCACCTCATTCCATACATCCAAACTCCATTCACTCCTCACAAATAAACCATAGTGCAAACTTTCTTCTGGATACACATTCTTTTATTTTTTTTAAAGATTTATTTATTTATGCATACCGAACTGGGGTACAGGTCAGAGGTGCAGGAGGGTGAGATGATTCACCGAGACAGAGTGGGGAGCAGAACAGGCAGATCAATGAAGTACACTGCTGAAGGGAGCAGCGGGTGTGTCAGGAGAGGTCTGCTGCGCCATGTGGGTGTCACCTCTGGGTCCAGGGTTGAACTCATGCTCTAATGGCTGCTATAGTTTCATAGTGCTGTGCATTAACCCACTGGCCATCAGGGAGGGCCCACGCCTGCACATTCTTGACACAAATTTTGGACTAATTGGACAGGGTCCTACTAACTTCTACCTTGGGTTCTATCTGGTTCATATAGTGCATGGGGAGTAGGGCTCTAAAGAGGTATAGTTCTTTGGAGCCTTCATGTAGAAAGGCACTGTAAGAGTGAAAAGCAGGTCCAAGTCTACTAAACCATGGTATCATATCTGCTGTTGGACTTTTTTTTTTTTCAATTTCATGTCACAAATATCTTTGTTAATACCATATTCTGTAATAGCTGTGTAGAATTACTTGGAAGCACCAGTTTAACCATCCTGGTGACCTTGTACAAAAGGGGCGTAAACATACTACCAGTACCATACAGTGTAAATGTTCAATGAGCTTAGCAATGGATACAGCTGGACAGAAAAGCAGAGAACATACAATTTCCTGAGCTCTTTTCACACAGAGCTGCAGTCAAGCACATTAGCACAATAGCACTGACAGACCAAGGAAAGGGGCTTCACTAAGGAAGTCACTTCCCGTAATGGTCTACACATTTATAACATTTATTGAGGAGGGGACAATGGGTGACAGACATATAGAATATATCTAGACAACTATGTAACAGTGGTGCAAAAAGAAAAGGGGAGCCTTGAAATTCTGCTAGCCTATTTTCTCTTCAATTATGGTTGCTTGTATTTTGCTATATTAATGCTGCACTTAATACTTGAAAGTATATGTGAAATACCTAAGAAAAACAAAATAGCTTTCCGAAAATATGTGTATTTAAAATCTTAGCATCATTAAATTGTCCCCTAGAAAAGTTGCACCATTCACACTTCATCTTTTATATCAGGGGGTGCATTGGTTTTTTCCAGTATCTTTTTCATACTCTCCTGTCTAATCAGGATCAATGGATTATTCATTCTCTTGGTAAAACTGATCTTAGTTCCAGGAGATCCAGTCTCATCTTGCTTGATTGGCTTTTCTTTTTCTCCTGTTTGCTTCTAGTTAGAATACAAATTGCTCCCATTTTCTTTTAATTACCATTCCCCAAAATGGTACAAGTTACTGACTTAAAGTTTCACATTGCCGGTTTTATCTCTTATGACTACACTGTACAAAGCACCTAATTGCAAGATGTAGTTCTTTTCATTTAATTTAAAATCTTAGTTGCTTAGTTAAACTAGCCATATTTGCAGTGTTCAAGAGCTCTGTCTGTGGCTAGTGTGCCACACAGCAGATATAGAACTTTTCATCACTGCTAAAGTTCTTTTATACTGTGGTAAGACTGTTTTGGGCAAAGAGACTATCACTTTTTAATCCCCAACAACACACTGTAGATACTTAAGAGAGTGATAAATGTAAACATTAATGCAAAAGCAGGGAAAAAAAAGTTTAATTGTGTGATGGGATATTCCAGGTGCTTCTTTAAGAACTTGGTCCTTCTATACAGAACACACAATCATTTCAACATCAAGTCACTCCACTTTGAATGCTCTTATTTTGAAGTTCCAAAAAAAAAATTTAAAAGGCTGGCTTGCTTCCAAGGAAAATATGACAATATGCTTATGAAAACACTAGTTTGCAGCACTGAGTACATTATAAGTATTTCATTAATGTTCTTCAACCATAACTTAATGTTTAACCTGAGAAATCAGAATTTTTATTACCAGAACTGCATACCAAAACCAGTCCAGATGATAGACATACCTATAGTTATAGATCAAGATAACCAGAAAACAACTTAGTAAATCTAATTTAACACAAAATAGGAGAGACTAACTAACTAACAAGGTTCTGAAATGGTTATTTTTTTTTAATGGCAATGCAACAAATATTAAATGGGCACATAAACTTTGTAAAATTTCTCAATGACAAAAACTTAATTTTTTAAATAGAATTTAGGCCAAATTCAGTCTTTGCATATGGCACTGAACAGTCATAAATCGGAAGTGCAAATACTTGGAAAGAAATAGTTTAATTCATTTATTTATGTTATTATTCTACACTGACATACTAATGCTGTAGGAGAAATTTACAGTTCTATGAAAGTCTTGATATAGAATAACAGAATGATAAGAAAATACAAAAAGGCCAAAGGCCATGCACAAACTAAAGGCTATTAAAGGGCATTTTAATTAGGGTTGTTTGTTTATTTTAATAACACGTGTAGTCCTGGTAGATACCACTTTAAGCACATGCTGTAGCAAAGGAGATGGCATTTAGAAATTACCTAAACCCTAAATCCAGTATTAACTGAAAATTTTACATTTACATAGCATTTTACTATTGTTGAAGCAATTTCATATTTTCTATTTCATTTTATTCCTCACAACAGCCCTGTGAGGTAGGCTGAACAATTTCCAATTATTTCCTGTAAAAGACAATGGAGACCCAAAGGTGATAAATTATAATATGCAGAGGTCGTAGATCTAGTATATGGTAGAGTTCAGGTTATTAATTTTAAATAAGAGAAATGAAGGCAAAATATATTTTAATCATATTCAAAAATTTAAAAACTAGTGGTTTTTAATATAAATACTCCATAACTTTAGCTATTATATATTGTATAGTATGAATTAGCAGTAACTTTGATTTTAAAGCATTTCCCTTAAAAGATAAATTGGACCCCATGCTTTGGTACCTTAGAGATATTGGAAATATTTTTTTCTTTTAAAAAATGCATTCTTATGGCCCTTAGATTCTCCAAAAAGTTCTAATACTAATAAAAATGCCTCTTACCAATCACTCACACTTAAAAATTGGTCCAAACTTAAGAAACTCCAAGCCAAATACAAACACATTCACTGACCTGCCCTACATACTGAGAAATCCTCTAAATGTCCATTCCCAAGGACTAATTTACATTAAATGGGTACCATTAAGAAAATATATCAGATTAAACTAACATAGCTGCAATGATTATGAATCAACAATATCTTACAATTATCCCAAATAACAAATACTGTTTTAATAAATGGGTATTCCGAGAAGAAAAGTACGATGGCACTTTTGGCATTTCTTTCTAAGCCAACACTAGCCTTTATATTTTCAACAAAAACATAGATCAAAGACAATCCATTTAATCCAAATTATCCAGAAAGCTTAAGTATGCTGAATAATCAAATATTCCAGCGGCACATCGGGGCCATAAATACTTGTGAATAAGACAAGCAAAAAATTAAAACTACACTGAACATGAGGTAATCTTTCTGTGATGACCAAAGAAACATTCATGATCTCTTACAATACTCCAGTACTAGCATTATAACATGTACATTTTGGTTAAAAAACAACTATTTTGTGGTGACTTGGATCTTGAGTAAATTTACGATGCCCATACACTTTTCCTAGAAGAACATATCCAGTATAAAAATAAAATCGAGAAAAGAAATCTTTGCAGAATTATTTCATATGACTATATAAAAGTGAACCCAAAAAAGTGAAACTTATTATATGCAGTTAATTTGAATTTTTTAAGTAAACTGTAACAAACTGTTAAATAATTTTCTGACATATTCACAAAACATTGTTTTGAGATGCAAATTTTATTGCATCACTCAAAAGCAGCAAAACTATACAGTAAATCAAATCACTAATTTTGGAAATTTGAATACAATGTAAGACTATCATTCTAGGCACTTTCACATTTGTCATATGAATTTGCTAATGAATGAACTCATCTTAGTCTTTTAAAAAATATGTGGTCTTTTTCAAGAAAGGGATGATGATGATTTGAAAATATGGTGCCTAGTTTATTATTTTGATGTTAAGTTTATACACCCTCCTCTTCTAAAATTAATACTCTGAAATGATCATTTCCATATATATCCTTCCCCCCAAATTTTACGTTTCCAAAAGAAACAATTAAAAATATGTAAGTATAACTTTGTGGAAAAGGTATATAGAGAAAAAATTAATCATTGCAGGTACATTATGAAATAGATTTCTTACCTTAATTAAAAGCTTTTATTACAAATTATTTACTTGCATTACTTATACCACCAAGGATTAGTCACAAAAATTCAAATTATATATGATACTGTTGTGTTTTAATTTCACAGGTGAATAAGCTGGACTAAGCCACTAGTTTCCTAAGATGACAACATGGAGAAAATTACTGTTTGCTGCACAAAGTGGGCCGAGTCTAGCTCTACCATAGCAGTTCCAATATGTACAGATGCCATCATAAATTTAAACCCAGGAACAAACAAGCTTTTGACTTATTTACCTACACTGGAACATTCAATGAATCTATACTAAACACAATGTATACTCATTTATTAATTGTTTGATATATACATATTTACCAAAAGTTAAAGACATATGTGACATGGTCAGCCTAAAAAGTCAAAATGAATAGCGAAAGAAATTTCTTTTTATAAAGTGCTTAAGGCAATTTCTTTATGCAGTTAATGAAACTGGTCTGGAATTCAATTGCTACGAGGGAAATGCAATAATACTAGGTGTATATTTTTATAAAATAGCATTCATGACAGTCAACCTCCCAAGCTTCCTTTTCCTGACAGCAATCTCATTTGACCTGCCAAACAAGTCAGACAAAGAGTAAGTAAACTAATAATGTTTACAAGGGTATATCAACTTTTCATGATGCATTAAACTTAGCAAAAGATCAACATTTTTTAAAATTCAAATGGCAATGAAAATATTAATATGGTCAAGTACTGTGATTTGAGACTATTTAAATAGGCAATGCCATGATTATTTCCTATTTCGAAAATGAGAGTGGCAAACTTTCTCCAGTTTAACTTAACACAAACTTAAAACAATTAAATTTAACCCCACACTTTGTCCTTTAATTTTGGAAACCTCTAAGAAGAGGCAGAGTAAGATTCTTGTTTTGAGTAATAATGAATGGTATTATTTCAAATGAATTTTCCAAATGAACATTAGAAAATTTTACATGAAGGACTTTAAATGATGGCATGAGCACAGGAGAGAATCACATGACTCCTCCAGCCCCTGATTAATAGCTCCTTTCCCATGTCCCTGGAATAGAAGGCCCTCACCGGTACCACAAAATGGTTTCTGACTCAACTATCAGTTGACATTGCATGGGGTGTGGAGCAAGAGTATGTCTAGAGGAGAAGAAGGCACTGAATTAGTAAGAAGACAAAATTTTATCAGACATCATAGTAAAAAATTTTATGTAGGAATTTGACTTTTTTTCTGGATCATGTTCGCTAAAATTTATTGTCTATAACTGTGCATATAAAGCAGCTACACTACTAAATTACTGCTTTTAGGCTGGACTATAAAAAGGAATTATAGCTTCCTGCTTCCTTAGGTCCTGGATAACCCTGCTATAGAGATTAGAACACTTCTAAATCTCTCAGAGGGACAAAACCAAAATTGTATTTGTTGGATAATCAAAAGAGTATCTATAACACATTTCATTCCAAAATTGCCTTATAGCATTTAAAATAATTAACATATCGCCAACTATGTAGATATGAATGTTCTCCAGAAAAAACATAATCCCAGTCAAATGAAATTGCTCATTTAGACTTGTTTAACCTACAAAAAAACATCCATCAGTAAGCAGTAAACTTTGAGAAAATTAGCTATTACCATTCCACAGTCTTTCTGTAGAAACTACCTCAAATGTAAGCAGCAACAGTCACTTCTTGGGAGAAGGTTGTTTTTAACACAATATAATTAAACAAGAAGTAAGTCAACATGAGACAGCAAGCTTCAAAAATAAAGACCACAAATACAGACCTCATTAAAATGCTCAAGGCATTCTTAAGTACTGTAAAGTACAACTTCTAGTTTGGCTCAAAGGAATCGTGTTACAAACTTCAATCAACTTTTAAAAAATTTATGTTCTGTTTTGATAACCATGGGTTTTGTTTAAAACATTTTCTGTAAGTTTGAGAAAGATTTTGACATCATTTTGGGGGAGAATTAACCCTTTTTAGAAAGCAAATGAAAGGACTGAGAAAAAAATAACCACTGAATAGTTGTGTCTGAAGAACTTACGTGCCAAATAAGTCAGATATGTGGATTTTTAAAATGGAACAGTACAACAGTTCAACAGTTGTACTGTTCCACGTAGTTAAAAAGCAGATGAAAATTACTTAAGTAAAGGATAGCTTTAGGCAACTCCTTTTATAACCTGTCCTCAGATAAAAGTTGAATAGTGTAGGTTTTATCAACTTTCTCAGACTTTAATAAACTTTCATTCCTACTAAAAATGTTAAAAATCAGTATAATATTTATCATTTATTACTAAAAGCAAGTGGAGATTTTACCAGATAACTATTAAAAGTGGCTTTAAAGTACAACAAAATCAGACAATATAAAGCTTTTGAAAATCTTACCCATCATATCCAAAATGATGGAATGAAAAATCTATTTAAAGAAAGCAACATACAAAGAATATTCCCTTTGCCACTAGTAGTGCAGCAGGTAAGAAACTGAAATTTGGGTGATTTTAAGCCATTATGTCTACAAAATTCCTATTCATTTTCTATTTTGAGTTTAAACCACAAAAAAAATATCAAAATACTTGGAAAAAGGGAAATGATATAAAGCTAGCTAATAACTCAACTAATTTATAAACCACTCTAAGAAAACCTAGCATCTCCAAACAATTATTTCAATTTTTAGAGAAACTAAGAGGACTATACATTTTTAAAGCTTCAGTGGAAAAACTAATAGGTAGAGATGAGGAAAAAAAAGGCAAAATTTAAATGTTTTTTTTTCCAGTCCAGGCCCTAGGACTAACAGAAAAGTCAAAATAATCCAAAAAACACAAAAATAGGTTTCTATATAACTAAACATTGCCCTTTCCTCCCATTTACTCTTCACAACGTGAGTTTCTTCGACTTCTGCTTGCTTCTATGACATTGCGCAGTAGGCTCCTGTGAATGCTTCATACTAGATGTTTAATGCTAACAGATTCCAGATGTTAAAGTAGGATGCAGCCAACCTGATTTCCATCATCATAAACTCTGTGATTAGTATCTGCACAGAAAAGGCCATTCAATGAAAAGACGGGGGAGTGAACACATCTGGAGCAGGCATTATTGAGTGACATTGTTTAGACTGCTAGCTGAACCGGTCATTCCGTTTTCACTTTTTTGAAATGTTCTCACAGCACTTGGAACCTGCATCCCAGTATTCACAGACAGTCCACCACACCAAACCTAAAAGACAAAAACAAAGCTTCTATCAAATTTTAAGCCAAATTAGAGTTTAAATACATGAACATCAACGAGTTTCAAACTTGTAACAGGCATATTTGACCTGAGGGAACTATAAGAAGATATTCATATGTATTAGAGAAAGTATTTTCACTCCAACTTCATACTGCATTATTAAAAATGAAGTCTGTAACAATGGACAAAGAAAGGTTTTAGGAAAAAATGAAACTTTTCATTATGCTGGGAGCTAAGGGACTAATGCAGGTTAAACACAAAATGTACCACCTGTAAATAAAAAAATTGGTACATTAAATAACATTCAAATTAACAACTTTTATTAATCAGAACACATCAACCACAATATAATATATCGTACTCAGAAGGACTGAATTTTTTAAAAGACAATCCTAATTGTTGATAAAGATATGAAAGAACTTAAATTTTTGTTGGTGGTAAATTAGTATAAATGACTTTGGAAAACTATTTGGAAGTAGCCACTACATTTGATTATACATACACAATACCATATGATCCAGCAACCCCAATCCTAGGTATATGTAACTAATGGAAACATATACATTCATTTAACAAGACACATAAGCAAGAATATAGCAATTCTATGTGTAAATGGTCCCAAATAGAAGCTACCCAAGTATCTAATCAAATTAGAATGGATAAATAATGGCACAATCATATAATGGAAAACTGTATGAAAATGAGTAAATCATCACCACACAGAGCAGCATGGATAAATCACACAAACAATTTAAGCCAAAAAGATACCTTATGATTACACTTATACAAAGTTGAAAGGGAAGCAAGATGTATTTAGGGTAACCACCTGGAGGGGGGCTATTAAGAGCCAGGAAAGGGTGCAAGAGGTCTTATGGAGTTCTGGTAATGGTCCATTTCTTGACCTGAATGCTAGATACAGGAGTATATGTAGTCCAGTGAAAATCCATCAAAATGCATCCTCATGGTTTGATTTCTTTAAATGTATCAACATTTATTTGAATAAAATATACCAAAATAAGGCAACAATTACAGGATTAGAAGATATAGGCTGGAAAGAGAGGAATGTGGAGAAAAAGTAAAATATAAAAGAAATGTTTCCCCAAATATATAACATAGTTAATTTATTCTACTTAAAAATTGTCAAGCTAAATAAAACATAAATTAGGTACTAACCATGAAACCAGGTAGGACTGGCTGAGTAAATTTTGTCTTGAAAGAATATAACAACTGTTTTGAGTTTGCATCATAGAAAGAAAGTTGACCTAAAAGGAAGAAGGGAAGGAAGAAAGGTCTAATTAATTATACCAAAAAAAGTATAATGTTTATTAAGTCACATATAATCATGCATAAAATAACTGAGTGAATATTTGGCATTTATTTTGTTGCAAACTATAAGTACTGGATTTAGTAATTCTCACTTGAAAATCAGCAATAAAATGTTCAATTTAAGAAAATGTCCAAATCTAATAATTTTCCTTTCCTGATTTTCAAGATCTCCAGCGTGCTGCCATTACCTGACACTAGTACTTTTTCAGCTATAAACTATTACTTAACAAATGATTTCCTTTGCCTATAAAAAAGCAAGGCTTCTTTCTCTTCAATCTCTCTCTCTCTTTTTCTTTTTTTTTTTTTTTGCAGTGACATTGGTTTACAACACTGATTTAGAGCTATAAGATTTCTCCCTTCGGTATCAGTCTTTCTAATCAAATCCCATCACCATTTACGCTATTAAATCTTATTTTCAAACTACTTTACTTCTACTTCAGTCTCTAAAATCATGACACAGTTATCACTGCTTCAGGCCTGGTTAATTTTTAAAATTCCCCCAAACCCCAGTTTGTTTTTCAACACAATCATGCAAGTAAAACAACTATGTCTCTCTGACCAGTGAACAACCTGATACTCTTCACATCTGTAACACGTTTTAAAACTCTGTTCGGTGGTTATTCTCTTGGCTTATAGCCTAGCTCTGAGAATGACTCCACTTTCTCTCCTATTCAAAACTTGCTTGTCCAAGTTCTCTTCTCTCTCTAAAAATATTCCCTTAATCAGTCCCCACCAAATAAAAAAGAAACTAACATTTATACCTACAATTAAAACACTGGCTGCTTTATGTGTGCATTACTTTAAAATGTTAAGCAACTTAAATATGGTCACAACAAGCAGAGCAGTAGTAGTTCATTATTTAGTGAAAACTCCTGTAGCTGCTCTAAGATGCTATCTCAAATATTTAGCTTCAGTTCTACTTCTCTTCTTTAATTCTGACAACACATTTCCAAATATTTGCCAAATGGTCATCCTGTTGGCACCTCAATTTCCCTAGAACTCCTTATGTTCCTTATCCTGTTGACCCGAATATCCTATTATTCACCCCAGCTGGAACCTGACAGTCAACTCGACCCTTCCTTGTCTCTCCCCCTCCAATCCACTATTTAGTTTCCAATCTATAGTTTTGCTATAGATTCTACTTTCACACCATCATACTCATTTTTCGTGATCTTCTCCACTGCCAGAACCTTGTTACTACTAATCACTCAATCAATTATTAAGGGTTTGCTATGTAAAATACAAACACTTGCCAGGCAGTACCATATATTGCTGAACAGCATAATCATGGCCCTGCCTACGTTACTCAATGGATACCTTCTGAAAAGTCTTATATTACCTGTTCTTACAATCTCATCCACATTTAACCATTTATCTGCCATCATTTCAAATACTTGATCATCATCACATGACTACAGTTTTCTAAAATGAGCAGAACCCACTTCCCTTGACTCCTAAAAGTAGAATAACTTTTTTTTTTTCCAATACCCTCAGTCAGATCCCATTCTACATTATAACTTTTCCTTCCTATGTCCTATATGTTCTAGGCTAATAACTATATTTCTCATTATTATATTTCTGGAATCACAAAACTTAGAAGAGAGAAGGTGAGAAGGAAATGTTATTTTGACAGTTGAAAAAGAAAAAAAAAAGAGTACCAATAAACTGCCATTTATCTTGAGAAATATGTATCTGAATCAAAGTGAATTAAAATAAAAAAGTGTAATGAAATCGACATTATCACTGACTTTTTCCCTTTTGGTTAAGTAATGAGATTGACAGTTCATGGAATTATGTGGACACAATGTTACTTAAATGGCAAAATTGCCTTTACTTGCTAAAAATGGCAATTGGAGAGAAGTATCTAAGTAGTTGCTTTTTTTTTCTTCATTCAACACTATATCACATTTACAATTTCTACAAATATTTAGATACTGTAGAGAATATACTCATCAAGTCACTAATTTAAAGCCTTAAAGAAAGTTTTACGAAAGACAAATATCAAGTTTAATTTTTAGATGACTTTAACTGGAGGGAAAGCTTGATTCGCATAGTAAGATAAAAATCATTTTATCTTATGTAAGATAAAATATTCTTCATTTAAGTTAATGTAATATTAACTTAATTACTTATTACATTAAGTTAATGTAATAGTAACATGTAATATGCTTCATTTAAGTTAAAAAAAAATGACAGCACTAAGTAGCCCAATATACACAGGACAAGACAATTTGAAGAACTCCATGAAGAAATATAGTGGCTACAAATTCAAAATAGGTCAACAAGGCCATGAATCACATTACTAGAGATTATGTAGCCAAATCACTGTCCTGTTCTTGTCAGAAGCTGTTCTAACGTAAGAGCCAATCTTTAAGAAATATGTTCACAAAGTACATAATCATAGGAAATTATAAAGGCCTTGGAAAATAATGAGCAACAGCTAATTATACAGAGAATGTTTTGTCTGGAAAAAAAGTCAAGAGAAGCAACGTCAGTAGTTTTTAAACTATTAAGGAGTATCAAGTCAATGAGGATTAGGGGACATAATTGTACACTTTTTCATATGACAAAATTTAAGAGCAACAATCTCAGAAATTATTGGATGAAAAAGCGAGTCAATTCAAAAAACATTTTCTAATCAAGTACTGTCCAACATGAAACTGGTTGTTTACTAAGTTCTTCATGGGAGTATCAACCTCCTACAAATATAATGTAATTCAGGATTTTATACCATGTGGCAGGTGGATTGGTAATTTCTAAGCTTTAGTTCAACTTGAAAAATCTGGTCTCATCTCTCTTTTAAAACAAGGTAAAGGGCCCTCCCTGGTGGCGCAGCGGGTTAAAGCGCAGCACTGAGAATCTGAAGCCACTTCCGTGTGAGTTCGATTCCCGCCTGCTGCCTGCCCCGGAGGAGACCACATGGCGAGCCAGACCTCTCCTGCTCCCCTCAGCAGTGTACTTCGTTGATCTGCCTGTTCTGCTCCCCGCTCTGTCTCTGGTGAAGCCTCTCACCGCCCCTGAGCCTCTGGCCTGTACCCCAGTTCTGTATGAATAAATAAATAAATCTTTAAAAAAATAAAAAAATAAAATAAAATAAAAAAAACAAGGTAAAGAAGAAAAGCAGAGTGTAATGAAACTGATATGAGCAAGAAAATGGGCAAAATCTTTCTTTCTCATATATTTAGTATACTATAGATATGAACTTCTGACCTCTCATACCCTTTGAGTCAATTCTAGAGCCAAACTGATCAATTCACAGTAGGTCAAAGCAACCATACCACAATACTAAAAGAAACTCTAAAGATGATTACCTATGAAGGTACTGAAAAACTACCAACTATGCTGAAAGGATTTATGAGAAAGTAAGAAAACTTACCCCCATCAAAATCACAAAATACACCTATTCTCTCAGGAACAGTAACATCCAAGGCTTTTACTTTATTATTATGCTTTGCTGCAAATGTATTTTGTAGCCAGTTGTTGACATGGATACACCAACTAGTGTTCGTCTTTCCTAGCTGATCAAATTTTCCCAAAGTCTTATAGGCTACCCCCACACTGTAGGATTTGCAATCCTTCTGGGCCTTGACCTCCCAATAATGTTGTCCACTTTCAATAGCAGTGTCTCCTACAAAAGATCAGAAAGATATATTTGACTCTTAACCTCTTCTTTATCAATCACACAGATTTTCACCTCTCATCCAACAAAATGGCAAAAAATTTTGAATAATCATGTTATCACCCAGATACTAAATGCACAGTATCTACAATAACTTCACTTGTGTACTTATAACTAATTTTTTTTAATATAAAAGGCTTCAGAACTTTTCTTCTTTACCAGCCCCTCAAAGGTTACAACAATAGGTGACAATAGTAAGACAACTCAAAATCCCACCAAAGGCTTCTGCAAAGATTTACTCAGTACAGAGGCAGCCACTCCAGATTTCAGTGAGTAGAAAGCCCATCAATGTGACTGTGAGAAACTCTGATGTTTACCCTACCCAGCACTGTGTACGATTCCCCAGTAAAACGATCTCTGCTGCCTCTCACTGCTGGCGGCCTGGAGCCTACAGATGTCCGTTTGGGGGATGGTGTACCACTTCTATAGAGGGAACACAAAGAAAAACAATTATGTGTAAATATTTCAGAAGCTAAAATTACAAATCATGGCAGATTTGTAAAAGATCTGAAAAGGTTCCTAAGTATGTTGTAAAAAATAAAAGCACTTACTTTTATCTGAATTAATATAAAACAGGTATCAATTATAAATACTCAAATGTGAGAAGTTATTAACACTAAACAGACTGAAAATACTAATATCATGCAGACAGCGAGCAAGGCTTAGGCAAAGAACACACAGTTTAAATAAAAAACAAAGTCAAAATGAAATGATAAGGATATGACAAAAGGACAATAATTGAAGAAAAAAGAGAACCCAAGAAAGATAGTGGATTATATGTTGTATATACTTGCAGCTAAATTTAAGTAAAAGCAAAGGCAAAAGCAGACCACTTATAATCAAAATGAAATAATGATGTTAATAAACAGTAGGTATTTTGCTCTGGGTGTTCTGGATTTCCTGAACTCATGCATATGACAACATCAAGTATTATAAAACATTTCTCTTACTAAGATGGACAAGATCCAACCTGACCTCCCCTTCTAGAAGATTATATGACAAAGTAAACTGAACAGTATTACACTTTTCACTAACTCTCAAAACTTCAAGATAGACAAATCCCAAAGATGATTTTGAAATAATATTTCTATTGAATGACTGCATTAGGAAAAAATATATAACTTACCAGTATAAAAGAAATAAAGGGAAAGCATGGAGAAAAGAAAAAGACATCTACTGAGAACAGTTTAAATTTCAGAAGTAATGAAGGAGAACTCCCATTGTGGCAGTGTAGACTCCAAACCCAAAGTACACTTTTGCGAGAAGTACATGGCTATAATTGTCTTACATCAAACAGGATCTCGGCCCCCAAACCCCCTTTTAAAGATACCTAAGTCACTCACCTATCCGAATTAAGGCTCTTCATTGCCTATACTCTGGTTGTTTTATCAGCTTTCCAAATGCTCTCTTTGTTGCCTGTTTCACCTATCGGCTGTCTACTAGATAAACCTAATGATGATTTTCTTACTTTGAAATATCAGGTACTTGCTTACTGTTTATAAACAACTTAGTTTAGCATTTCAGGTTGATCTTGATTTGCTCCCAATCTGGGTTTTGCTTTCCTAATCCCAGGGAGCACTATCCAGCTGAAAGTACCAGTTGAAGAGTTCCTTAAACTCACACCATGTGCTTCATTGCTTTTCCTTTTGTTACTACCTCTGTCACTTCAAGTCCAAATGACATAAATTCTTCCACTTCTTCCAGAACTAGCTTCCATTCCTTTAATAAAGGTCTCTCAGATCCTAACAGTTAAAACACTCTTCTGAGGAATCTAGCTCCAGGTCAAAATCCTGTATGTGATATTTCAGGTCCACAGGCAATTATAAGGTTTTACCTGGCAGACCTGGGGCAGGGAGGTGGGGGTGTGGGGTAAGGGTGTGTGTCTGCCTTTTCCACACTAGACTGGGTACATAACTAGTTCACTGCCATGTTTGGACCATCCAGTGCTCATATGCTTATCTATGTTCCTAGTTTAGACATTTCTATCCAGAAGCTTCCTTGGGGAAGAGGGGAAATACAACTGAGCTAGGAATGGAAATTCTCAGCTGAGACCTCTTGAAGCAGCTTCTGCAGAGACCCCCTTAAAGGGGGTAGAGATAGAGATGTAGGGGATATTCTTCACTCTATCTCAGTATTGTAAGAGGGTGATCCCCCAGGGAATAGAGAAGTTTCAGTTTCCCTGCCCCTCCCCCAAAGAGGGTGATGCTGAGCAGGGAGAAGAAGCTGGAGGGGAGAGTGAGAAGGAAGGAAGCAGAATGGAGAACCAGAAGGAGACCTGGAGGAGGCATGTGGCGCAGAGAGACATATGAAGAAACTTCTCTTGCCTTCTGGTCCTGGACTGGTTGAAACAGATATGGGTGAGAGAGGCCACGGGGAGGTTGACTATGGCAGATTTTGATTTTTCTCTTATTCTGTCTGGCTTTTTATGACTCTTTTTTATGGGTCCCCATCAGAAGGTGCTTTGGACTGGTGGTGGGTTTTTGGGTCTAGTTTTGGGTCAATCCTGTTTAGCTGGAATTTTAACCATGAGGGGATGGATAACTCTGGGTGCTTGATTTGGAAACTATATTTTCCCCCTTTCTGTATTACACACTAATTGCATTTAAGTTCCCTTCCATTAAGGTTCTGTCTTGATGCAGTAGATGGCAGAACCTATTTAGAAGTGGGTAGGTGTGGGGGCTTTGGGGTGACCACTCTCTGCCCTGTTATAGATTTGGTGACGCAGGTGGGACAGAGGTAGATTGTGGAGGATTTTCTTCACTCTGTCTTACTACTTTTCTACTAGCAACATTTCCCAATGCTAAACATCTTCTTGGCCTTCAGATCTTGAAACAAAACAGCAGCAACCTTTTGTTTGTGGCTTCTTAGGCAGTGAGATGATCCTCCAGGTATCCTTCACCTACGATCTACAGTGACTTATTTACCTGATTCTCATTTAGTGCCATTCTATGGAAAAATGGTACACTGTGTGAGCTGGCATCCTTTCTGTTGGCCTCTGATTTATACAATCCAGTAAGGAAATAGACTTGCTTGCTATTTTCAGTTTGGTTGACGGTCCTGGTGCTTGTAAGTGAGTCAACACTTCTAAACTCCTTTATTCACACTTACATTACACATTATTTCTACTCTGCATTATTTTTATTTGCATGTGTACATGTATGAATGTTTCTACATATATATGTAGAAAATCTACATAAGTTAGGGCAAATATCTTGAAGGAAGGACCAGAGTATACCTCTATAAACCTCACAATATCCAGCAGACATGCTACAGTGAACAAGCATTTGTGATAACTATAATATACATTCTATAAGTAGCTTCCATATAAAATGTCATAAAAATAATAACATCCATCCCTTGAATAATGTGGAGGTTTCCACACCCCTCTCAGTTGAAACTTTGAGTATAACTTATAGTTAGTTAGCCCTGGATATATACCAAGGACTCAACCATCATCCACTGAGTCCGTGAATGTGGAACACAAGTAAATGGCATGTGTAGTTCTAGTCTGTTGATCAAGGGTTAAATACAAGCAGTCCAGAACTCTCTAAATGAGCAACTGAAATTTTCCACTCTATTAAATTTACAACTTACAAGTTAGTGAACACACCTACTATGAATCACTTTTACCAATGAGCAAATAGACTGTAGGAAAATGGACAGTTCAAAAAAGAGCACATATTTCAGTTTCTTGTAAAAAGTGTTATCTTCAAATTAACACATTATTACTAGTGCAATTTGAACTGATTCACCTTTCTAGCACTGTTCCAATAGCTTCAGTAAATTACCTTTATTTTTTATCCTTGATGCTTTTGAAACTGCATGATTAATGGAAAATACATAACATTTTAAAACCTAACTCCTGTCACATACAAATAAAAGCAATCGTGTATGTTAGATATATTGAAAACAGCATGACAAGAAAGATGCCACTTATAAGTAAATGCAGGAAAAAAATCAGAGAGAAAATATTTCAGAAAAGACTTCAAAGCAGAGTTTGTTGTTTTGTTATCATTTACACTAGAATCCAAATAATATGTAGCACACTATAATGCCATAAAGCTACCAGTGCAGACAGTCTACACAAAGCAGTATTTTAGCTTATCAAAGCTGTTGCAATGGTATCTTCTTATTAGTTAAAAGTAAAAAATTAAAGTTATTCAGCCAAGCTAGATACTAAGTCCTACAACTAGACAGACATAGATTATCACCTTGAGTGTTTCTTCAGTGAAGTAGCATGGACACTGTCAGATAAAAATAAGCACCTGTTAAAAGACTGTGTCACAATTTAACAGTTTATTATCAAATTAGGTCAGAAGTTGGCTGAGGAAAAATTTTTATTCACTATTCTAATGCATTGTAATATTACCTTAAATATGAGCAAAACTTCCCTCTACTAAACATGGGATCCATATTTTCAAACTATTTAAATAAGTCTGAAAACAAAGGCCCTCAAGTTAGCCTTTCAATTGAGAATGTGTCTGTTTAGGGCAAGACACAGGGGTTGTACATGCTAAAAATTGTCATTCAATGTAGACTTCCACATAATACAGGTGATATGTCAGTCCAAAATTTAGGAATTGTAGTAGAACCTCTCTCTGTAGTTTAAGCTGTAGTGCATATAACTTTAAAGAAATGCAATACTGAAATAGAAAATGCATAAGGACTATGAATGCTAATGACAAATTTAAGGACTGACAACACATTTTTTACTTTGGTATTACCAACATATCACAAATCATATTACTACATGAATAAGAATTTCAATGTAAGTCACTGTCAAGAGTCAATTTACAAGCATGTGTCCAGATAACAGATATAATAAACTAGCTTACCTGCCCTTGTTCTCTTTCCCTTTAATTTTACTTTCTTGACCTTTTCCTCCTGTGGGATCCCACTCTACACAGGTATCTTCGACTCTCAGGTTCAAATGGGATGATGAGTTATCCAAAGCAAAGTTAAGTGCTATCCAAAACAATATTTTCATTTTTAAGAAATATTTTCATTTTTAAGAAATGTAGTATATAGCACAGATATCCCATTATTTCCCCATTTATCTAAGTGAATATTATGTATTGAAAATCAAGTTCAAATTTCTAATCCTATCATTTAATGAATGATAAGGCCATAATTTATTAATTTCTATTTTATTTCCCATTATTCTTTCCTATCTTTCCTACCTTCCAACAAAAACAGTATTTGTATGGTCACTGGTGTTTCTGCCTAGAATCTCCACCACACAATAACCTTAATTTCCTGTTATTAGAATGTCAGTTGATTATTAGTTATATTTCCCTCTGAAATTTCAAATGTCTGGTAATTATGAATATTCCCTTACATTTCATTTAAAGATATTGCTTGATTTAGCTAAGGCTTCTAAATCTATGAACTATGCATCATCAGACAACAAAATAATCATAAAGAGAACCTAATGTGTTTACCAAGTGAATCAAGAATCCTTTATCCTCTACTGTTCTGTAAAGAGCACTTTAATCTCAACTATGCATCTGACCCATTGTTCATTGTCTTTACTAACAACACAGCATTCTAAATACAAATCAAGTGACCACTTCTAGTATATCTCCTACTGTGCAAGTTAATAGTTTTTAAATTTGCATCCAAGCAGAAATGAATAAGATACAAAATGTGAACATAATATGACAAAAAGTAATAGTTTTTCAGTAAAAGTGAAAACAGAATTCCTTAATAGATTGGTTACTAAAATTTTAGGATTAAGCAAAATTGAGACCTGTTCAGTGAGTTTCAGTCTACCCCCATCACAGGGGGTTTACCTCACAGTTACAAATACCTCACAGTAACAAAAGGACTAAAACCAACTTTGCTTTTCTTTACATATACTAAGTCTGAAAATTTGGCTAGTTAAGGTACAGATACTGTTAACAGTTATAGTTAGCCCACTCTAAGAAAACTGTAAGTCACTTTTCATTTTCCTGAAGTTATAGAAAGTACACGGAAATGTACACCTCGCACTCAAGTTTGGTCACTAATAAGAGGGTAAGTGAGATGGAACCAAGGAAATAAAAAGATGTGGTACTCAAAAATATAAAGAAAGACAGATATAATGCTTCACAGGGGGCATTATAATAATGTATTTTTTTCCTAACAAGAGCTGAAAACAGTCCAAATTATGTAGAAAAGATTATCTGTCTATACCTATGACTAAAGAGACCACAGTAATAGCTCAGCACTTGATAAAAAGTAATTCAAAATAATAGCACTTCCTGGCTAAGTTATCTATACTTCTCAAATAAAAACATTACCAATCCCAACAAGTTACTTCAAGATAATTTTGTTAGATCTCTGGGTTGTAAACATTCTTCTTATTGATAACTTACAGTTCTCAAATTATTATTTTTTAAGGATTTATTGATTTATGCAAATAAGAACTGGGGTACAGGCTAGAGGTTCAGAGGGTGAAAGGAATCACCAAAGACAGAGTGCAGAGCAGAACAGGCAGATGTACTGAAAAGTACACTGCTGAGGGAGCAGCGAGTGGGTCAGAAGAGGTCTGTCAAGCCATGTGGATCAGCTCCCTGGCGGGGATCAAACTTGTGCTGCTGTGGCTGAGCAGATAGCTCCATAGTGCTGTGCTTTAACCCACTAAGCCACCAGGGTGGGCTCCCAAATTTATCCTTATAAAAATTCTCCTATTCTTATTTTCCTCCACATTATAACAAATTTCTGGCATGCAAACCTATTCAAATGTTACATGAAGTAGAGATCTACAGAATACAGTTAAGACCCAAGTAGCTACAATAATGTATAGGATCTAGTTACAATAATGTATAGGATCTGTTATGAAACCCAGATTTTTAAAACCACTAATTTTAGTGAGTAAAATTATTTACTAAAATGAATAAATACCTAGGCAATGTTTTATGTTAAAATATATCATTCAAGGGAATTTTAGCTAAATCCAAGTTGCTCTCAGAGATTAGAAGCATCTAGGCTCTAGGCACACAATAAGGGATGGCAGCAAACTTGGAAAGAGACTCTTAACAACACTCTTTCCATACTAGTTCCAGGGACTATGGGCAAACCTTTTAATATTTCAAATTTACAAGATTCTTCATCTATAAAATGGGTATCAATAATATCAATTCTACTTCTCTCCCAAGATTTTAATAATGAAGAGTTGAAAGTACTTTGTAAACATTAACAAATAATATAAACATTCACTTGGCAATAAGATTTAAGAAAATAGAGGTCCTTAACTAAATCGATAAGGCACTTTCCCAGTACTGAGTCAGAATCCATTCCTTGAAGAACCTTGGCTCATCTCAGTGACACATGTGTTTACACCAGACTGAAACTTGTAAACTAAGTAGCTACCAACAAATATAACAGCATTTTCTTAGACTATTTTATCTACCTGAATACTATGACAAAGGAAAATCTAATGAAACCACTACTGTAATCCTGATGTCTCTATGTTATCACTCCTACTTTGGGGAATCAGAGAGAGAGAGAATATGCAACCATACTTGAAATGAATGTCAAGAAGATTTCAATAATCTCTAATGTTAAATTTTGTGTTATGCTACATAAATAGCTACTGATCTTACCTTTTGTCTCTAGGGTCACTGGATCAGAATACTCTCCAGCAACAGCTTTGTTACAAGCTCGCACTCTGAAATTCATATACTTTGAATCAAATTTTAAGCCTGAAGAAAAAAAAAAGAAACTGCTTTTCAGATATGAGAAAGAATATACTCCAAAAATATGTATATAAATCTCTGAATAGTTACTTTTTCCTCAATGGAAAAATACTGGATGGTTTCTCTCATAGCAGGAATATAACCAAACAGACGCGAAAATAGCGATAATGATGAACAGCTATATACCAGAGACATTTTGTGGGGGTGGAGGGGGTAATGGGATTAAAAACAGTGGGGGGAAGGAAATGCACTGGATTATGGTGATGGCACATGGGTGATTTGGTGATGGGAAACCCAAGAGAATTGCAACTGAGATGGAAAAATACACAAAAATGTGTAAAAATAAACTATTAAAAAAAAATCTCCATGTATATCACAATGATCTACTAGATTGCAAATACCCCAAAGAGCCTAAATATAGTATTTTTTAATATATGTTTTAGGAAAAACTCACTTTTATATTGAATATATAAAAAGTTGGCTCAGCTAAAGGGATAATTTCTTTATCTTTAAAAGTAACAGAAAATATTTTTCATAATTATTTATTTTCTGAGGATGATTCATAGAATACATTTGTTTTACCTGACAGTGTATATTCAGTACCCTTAATATTATCAACAAGCTCCCAGCATCGCTCATCCTTTACACGTGGAAGTCCATCAAAATTAGTCTTCCTGTATTCCAGTATAAAATGGTCAATCTTATTATCTTCTTCTGGCATTCTCCAGGATACTGTTACAGCATTGTCAGCCACCAAACATTCTAGTGGGTCAATCTCTGGAGCTTTGGGGACTGAATTAAAAGAAAAACTTATTTCTAAGCAAATACGTCAGTCACATTGTGCTTTTTCATGTTGCTTTTGAATTGTTCAATTGGATTAGGTTAAAAAAGAGATACCTTAGAAATGCAAAATAACTATTTTTCAAAGTTCTACTCAAAAATTTATGTTCCCAGTATTTTCATAAATTTACTTGGCAGAATGTAATTCAAATATGCTAAGGATAAAGAATCAAGAATAATTTGTTACTTTTGAACATATACTTTAAATCTGCTAAAGGAGCTGTAAAAACAAAACACTGACAAAAGTAGAATTGCTTTGAAATGAAATATTAAGTATGAAAACCTCACATTTTGAGATTTACTTCCTACCCTAAAATTTAGCTCCCTATCACCCTAAGAAAATCTTTGGTTTTATTCTACTTAAAAGTAAAATCTCAATTAAGTGGTTATGTAGTATTCTGACATATTACAAACTCAAATTTTTCAAAAAAAAAAAAAAAGCCAGTATCTTGTTAATAAGATGTTAATGATGGAAGTAACCAAACCATTTTACTTGGTGTCCTAAATGAAATTTTGGAAAATGTTTATTTCTCCTTTAATGTAGTTTGACTTAGAGTCCCATCAGTGACATTGTGAAATTTCAAAGTACAGGCACTCACTGAAAAGTTATACTTTTGTCCTCTACAACTATGATTCCTTCTCTCATGCTTGCCACTGATAAACTGTTGCAGAATGCTGTATCTATACCATAAAAATTAAAACTTCCCTTGTACAACCATTACTGACAGCCCCATTATAGTTTCAGGACTACTAACTTTGTCTTTTCAATCATATTTTAAAAAGTCTCTAGCCATATATTCAGAAAAGAATGGTTTCATATGATCAAAACTTCCTATTCAAAAACAACTAGCGTCCCCTGAAAAAAAAGGTCATTCTAACAAAACATCTGTAAGTAAAACATTTCATTTTCAAGAGATAGCTTGATTCCCCAAACCACTGTGTATATATTATTTTAGCTATTAGCACCACTAACTTGATATAACTACAAAAAGAATACTAACCTAAAAGTCCCTAACCGGCTTTTTCACACAAAGAGACAATAATTTGTAACTGTATAAATAAATTATAATTTATAATTTATTTCAACTGGTTTTGTCTAGCAAAATATCCTCATTTGAATTCTCTAATAAACTAACTTTAAACTGGAAATATAATTCCATCTGGGTCAATAACAAGCCCAACAAAATTCATAAAGATAACAGCCTAACATTTATGCTTACTAAGTGCCAGGTACTATTTCACATGCCTGAATACAAGTAATGAATATGAAGATTTTGATTCATTTAATCTTTCTAAAAATCCTAGAATAACACCACATTTTAAAGATGAAGAAATGAGGCAAAGTTAAATAACTTGATGATTATACATGAACAAAACAATAGCCAGGATTCAAATGTAAGAGGTCTGGCCCCAAGACCCAGTGCTTGCCATTCTGGTATATTGCTTCTCTTGGTCACTAGTCATAAAAGGGATTCTTAAAATGGGAATTTTACTGCCAGTGAAATAATTCTCTAAAAATAAAGAACAGCAAATTTCATTATTCATTCCCAGAATTCAATTATTTTTTCTCTCTATTTTCCAATGTGCATTACAGAGAAATCTTGCAGGGCAAAAAAAAAAAAAAGATTTTGCATTCATAACTTTACTTACCTGGCAGAAACTTCAAAGTTTGTAGGATCTGTCTTTCCTGAGAAAAATCTACCATTAAATGAGTCATGTTGTCGCTGACCTTTGGTTTCAAAGAAAGGCGAAAAGCTGAAGCCATTGTTACTCTATGACAAACACAGAGATATTTTTTTAAATTAAAAGAATGAGAATATCGAATCACTTAATTTACAAAAGGACAGGAAGACTTGATTGTATTGATTTCTAAACTATAATAAAACTAATAAAACCTAAAATAAATTAGCTCTAAAGGTCCTCTGAAAATTAAGTGAGAAAACTGTGAAGTGTTTTCCAGTTTAAACATCAATATAACCTTAAAGATTTTCCTCCAGTCAGTTTTATAAAACTGCACACAAATGCGGCATCATGAGGCAAGAACCCAAAGTAAGTTATCATCAGTGGCCCGCAGTCACCAGACCTCTGAACACGCAATCTCACTGACTTCCTGATGCCAGTCCCACTCCTTTTCATTGGCCAGAAAGTAACATGTACACATGCCCTGATTTACACATTCTCTACAGTAGTCTAACTACTCCTTTGACGTCAAATGAGAGCAGAGGTACAGTGACATGTACTGTGTACTTTAGTACTTGGTAAGACAGTCATGGATGAGAAAGCAGAGATGTGAAATCACTATTTTAAATACCATGCTGGCAGGCATCTCTAATGGGAAGCTACAAGAGCCCTGTGAAACCATATGCCCCTATCATTACATATTTATTAGATGAGCATGGTTTAAAAAAAAGAAAAAGAAGCCATAGCAGACCTCAGTTTACCCAAAATATGGGGAAACCATTTTATCCATTTAAACTGGGAATCAAAAGAAACTTATATTACTAATTTATAACTTTATCTCAGAATTCAATTTTCATATTATAGCAAATTTCTGCCAGAATCACAATGTTAACACCCTTGTAGTATTTGGTAAAGAATGAAACAAAAGTACTATTCATGTTGTCCTCCTAGTATACAATTTGGGGCAGGAAATAAATAGAGCTGAAAAGGACAAAAGTAATACCACATTTACTCATTCATATCTATCAACTCTATCCTAGAGAGCAATAGTATAATAGATATCAAAATTTCCAAAGTTCAATACAGGAAGTCTTACTGTATTCAGTCATTTTGAGATTAAAAAATGTCAAACCATTGCCATATTCAGTTATTTTATTTAATTTTAAAATTATGAAAGTAATCATTTTACTTAGTACTAGCAATGAGTCCACAGAGCTGGTTTATACATAAAGTAAGTGCTATAGTAAAATACAATATATGGGGAAGGGAATCCACACTTAATGAAAATAAAACATAATCCTCAGTATTTCACTAAGCATTTCATGTCACTTTAAGCTGCTGGTTCTCAATAAAATTTTATTTTATATTAATATCAGGAAAAAAGGCTATGTATATTGTTCTTTACAGCCTCAAGTATTTCTGATCTGCAAATTTCTGAAAGAGCTATAATCATACAGAAACTTAGTAAATGCCCCCTTGATTGCTTCTAAACCTGGCTATTTAAATGTTTGAGAACTGTTGGGGAAACAAAATACTCCACTCCCCCAAAAAAAATTTTTGAAAGATTATCAAAACAAAAAAAAAAGTCTTGAAAATACACAGAAATGCTACCATCTTTCAAAAGACTGAACTTTGTACTTTTAGATTGAATATATTTATACAACTATGCCTCAAAACCCAAAATAATAACCTAAAATCTATTGGTAATTCTCTCTCTTTTTTTTTTAAGATTTATTTATTTATACATACAGAACTGGGGTACAGGCCAGAGATGCAGGGGTGAGAGGAATCACCAGAGACAGACTGGGGAACTGAAAGTCAGATGGACTGAAATATACTGCTGAGGGGAGCAGTGGGTGAGATAGAAGTCTGCTGCGCCATGTGGGCCACACCTCCCTGGTTGGTGATTGAACTCATGCTGCAGTGATTGCACACAGCCCCACAGTGCTGAGCTTTAACCAGTTATGCCACCAGGGAGGGCCCTAAATAAATCTTTAAAAAAAAAAACAACAACTATGTAACTGATTAACTACACTTCCTTTTCATGACCCCTTTGTTTTAGGAAGCAATAATTACTACAATAAACTCAAATTTTACAAAGTCACTAAATGCCCAGAAGTATATACTAGTGATCTGTAAAGTTCTAGAAATCTTTATATCTTATCTTTACTTCTCTCTCTGGTTTTCCTTCTCATTACCACTGCTTCTCTTGCATAACTCCTATCACAATCAATGGTAAATGCTATATTCTAACAGATATATTAATTTTCATAGCTTTCATTTCCTAGTCAATACCACTTCTACCCTCATATAAGGGAACAATTTTTCTTTCCCTAGTGAAAATGTTATTTTATTATGACCATAGTTTAATTATTTTTATTATAAATGGCACTGATGTAATTCTAAAGGTCTGTTTCCTAGGAGAACACCTAAAACCTACAAAAGAAAATCTGGACATTATGAAGATAAAAAATGGTTTAAAAAATAAGTCAAAACCAGAAATATTTGTTAGGCAGGAATTAAAATCTTATGGATAGCCAAAATAAAAACCTTATATAGATTTTGAAAAGCAAATACAAAAAAAAAAGGCAGAATAAAAGATTCCTGAGATCACCTAGCTAATGATGAAAAAGAGCCAATCAATGGTTGGCTTAGAAAAAGCAAACTTCATAGAAAACATCCAGTAATGAAAAATAATCACAAAATTAAATTCTGATAAATAAGCCTGGACAAAGAAAAATAAGTCAGAGGTAAGCGTAAGATTCTGGGGTGTACGGAACCATACAGAGACTGAGGAGATAACAATAGAACATTTGGTAAGGTTTTTCATAAAATGTTTGGAAAGCCCAAGGCCCTAAGAAGTGATTTCTAATCCAGAAAATCAGAGATCAGAGCAGGACTTAGCCCAGCTTAAAAAAAAAAAAATCTAGCTAAGGTGGACCTACTTAGCATCCATTCCTCATATAGTCAATACTTCTCAACTTCAAACTCATAACCTACTTTCTACATCCAAAATGGTTCTAGCCCTTAACTACTCCCTAATTATTCTAAAAATTTAAAAATTAATATCTGTGTTAAGAATGTTATGGCATGTATAAGAGAAACAGAATTAAAATCTCCAGTCAAGATAACAATAGATACTGTTTTTTACACAATCCAAAATAAGTAATTTTGTGAATTATCTGAAAAATAACTGAAGAGCTGTGCCTCTCAGAGGATTTCATAATATTAAAAAACAAAACTCTGAGTGATAATCTCACTATAGTCAAGGCTCAGTGACTAGCCAAGAAGATCAAAATCATTCCTTTTGTAGAAACACTCCAAACATTTCATTAGCTTTTTGGTGTGTTCATTACAAATATTAAATTACCTTTTGTTATCCTGAATCTACCAATGAGAAAGATTTTTTAAGTCAAATTTTTTATTATTATTTTTATTATCATTTTTATTTTCTCTTCTCATAAACTAGGTGGTAGTGGCATTAGAAAAAGATAGAGATGGCACCAGGAACAGGATGGAATGAGAATACAAAGGTGTTAAACAGAACAGCAATGAAAAGGAGAGCTTCAGCCCTTGAGGACTATTTAAAATGTGTGACTTCTCAGAAAATAAGACACACTACTTATATTTAAACTTAAAAACCAAAAATGCATTCCAGGAATATTTATTTTTCAATTATTCAAGATAGTCCCCCAACCATTAACACAGCTAATTAAGAATTGTACTAAAACTAACTATATCATACCAGAAATGAAATTCTTTTTAAAGCACATAAATGTCCACAAATATATTTTTAAATTGCTTATTACAGAAAATATACAGAGACATGTTTTCTCTTTCCTTTTTTTTTTTTTTTTCCTTTTTTGGTATTTGGTCGTTAGGTATTTTTATTTTAACCAAAAAGATGTTAATAAAAAACCATTCTTGAATTTCATTTCTGACTTCAATATCGGTATTTAAGTAAAAATGTAGGTTTTATACCATACCTATCCTTGATCTGTCTGGCAGCCTTGGAGCAAATCAGGGAGAAGAGAAAGAAGGCAGTTAGTGCTTTTCATGCAAGTTTCAATGGCAGTGACATGCAAGATAAGTTAGGATATAAATCCTGGAGTAGATTAGTTCACAGTCACCAAAATATAAATTACAGGAAATTACATACAGTTTTTGCATCAGTGTGAATAATGTGATGTTAGAACTATAGTAGAAAACCCAGACCCCATGAAATCACCTTAAAAGGAAGATTATTTAACCCTTCACATGAGTTCCAAATGACTAATAATATTTCTTCTTACCTTAAAATTATCAAAACACATCTCCACTTTCATTCAGTCTGACACTCTTCAACTAGAACAAATAATCTCCTTCACAGGACACACTTTCTATATATTCTGATGGTGTTCTTAAACATTTCAAATCTGCTCTCCAATTCTTCAAAGATCTCTTTCACCACTTGGTTGTTCCAAGTTTCTCTATATGCCTTCATTGGATAAGGACTTTGTATTCTGAGAGCTTGCCTGCTAACATATAAAACTAGGCTGCAGTTCTACAATCCTTTACCCCATAGAATGAAGTTGCAATGGCAACAATGTAGATGAAAAACCAAGAAATACTTCTATCAATGGAGTCTTTCCCTCAGGTAGATGACTTCATAGACACTGCCAACTTAATCCTACTCTACATGTCTTTTTTTTTTTCTTTTGAAGAACGCTAGCACAAGTTTAGTAAGGAATTATAACTTGGTGCTGTATAATCATTAAAAAATGAAAACTGCACATAAAAACTGTTGTCCCATTAACCAACAACATATGTGCAACCAAATCCCCCTCCTCCCACACGCACAGTTAATAATATATGCAGTCCATGATTGTTCTGCTCAATATTCTTATCTCTGCTGTTTAATATAGATCTTGGCACATGGTAATACTGAATTATTATTAAAGTTAACTAAACATTAATCAGAAATATACAACAATGCTTCTGTTGCCGCTCTCTGTCCAATTCTTATTATACTGCTCTTATTGTATAATGGTTATTTTTATACCCATCTGAAAATACTCCAGTCTGAGTACCTTACACAAAATAACAATTGAGATTTAAGAGATCAATATATCACACAGTTCTAACACTATCATAAGTAATTCTGTATATTATTCTGTTTCTTTATTAGGGGATTTTGGTACTTAATGTTTCTAAAGATCCTTTCCAAGCACCACACAATACAGCAAACAACCTAGTTTTGAGCTAGCTAAAGCATGTGCTTTAAGTTGGATGCTAGGGACCACAAAAATGTCAATTACATTGATTAAAAAAAAATATTGTTGTAGCTAGAATTGCAACACTAAGATTTTAATATAATTTTTAAGAAGTAGAAATGGAAATAGAGACCCCTCTTTGCACTTGATGGTTCTTTAGATTTGAAGGAAAGTGTCACTAGCTTTACACCGTTAGCTGTGCATTGGTCCCTCATTTCTACTGGGAAAATAGTATGATTTATCTGATTATGAGTTTGAAAGGAGAAACCAGAAATATGTAGCTCAGCTCCTTCCCCTCTAACTGGCAGCTTGCTTGCACACACAAAATATTCTGTTCTTGTGCTCTAAGCTCTAAGTTTCACTGAAGTAGGCTTCCTTCACAGCAGAGATCAGAGATAGCTACATACTGATTATACCTGAATGGATAAATGTGTCTAATTCTAGGTTTTGATGTTAAAAAGCTTGCTGACTGTACAAATTTGCCAGAAAACATTTCACCAATATTTGTTCTCTTATCAGCTTTATTATCTATTCTATTTCCTACCTGGTTTAGAACTTGGGTTAGAAGAATACTACTTACTAGTCACTCTCAAATAACCCAACACTACAAAGATCATTAATGATTTTAAAATGACCATAATAATAAAAATTTTTGTCTAATGTTATTTCACTTAATGAGGTGCCATTTTTAGTGTTTGTGTGCATACTTGCACATATAACATGCATGCAAAACTGCTGTTTTTCATTTAATATACCAGAATGACAAACCAGAAAAAAAAATAGCTAAAAAGCCAGATACCTAGGAAAAACTTTTGTCTCATTTATATAAAATACGTATGTATACCTGCTTGGTAAGCACCAAAGATGGTGGCTGCTCTTGGATCTAGGCCTGAACTTTAGCAAATAATCACTGTGTAACTGCAAGAAAGATGGAATGCTAAAAGGATAAAAACGCTCAAATTCTAAAGACATTTTTCAAAATGAGCTCAATTTTAAAATATGTCTAAAACTGAAGAATATATTAATCTTTTTCTGGAATATCTTCCCCAAAGCAGGGTGGCATCCACAGATACACATTACTATGTTGCTTTCAACTTCAAAAGTAACACATTTGTCAACTAAACATCTCTGTTAACAAGTAACAACTGATTTGAGGATTTATCACTGATCTGTCTCCAATGCATTTATTTGTGTCAACATAACTCTACTTTCTGAGTTATGAAGAAGTCTCAGGGAATGTTACATTTTTAAGTTATAATGCTCCAAGAAGCATCCATCACTTTACTCCGGTTAATATCATTATTCATCTTCTACTTCATCCTGTTTGCCAACATCTTTACTCTCTATTCAAGTTATGGATAGTTCTTTTCTTTCTCATTCCCCCCATTCAGTTCAGTTGATTGTTTTTAAAGTAAATTTTATGATTATGATTCTTTATTTTGTACATTTTGGGAATCTGTCACCTGAGACCAAACTTCTTTAAACAGAATTGTAGTAAAAGTACAACAGAGGAGTAATCACAAATTGTTCTTCATAATTAACAATTAAATATAAAGAAGGTAAATGAGACCTTTCCCCAGTCTCTCTTATTTTTAATCTGCAATGAATGAATATAAAAAATTTTTTCATCCACAAATTTATCAAGTACTTTGAAGGATAAACATCTTATTGTTTCTATATTTCTTCTTAATAACATTATCATTTTCACCCTTTACATAAAGAAGTTAGATGCGAAATGTACTATTTTATTTCCATAGTAACTAATTGAATCATGTTTTTCAAACACAGTTAAAATGGGGTTAATAAAAAAGTTTTAGATTGTTTGCTGTACTTAGTGAATCATTTGCCCAAACAACAAAATTTGAGATTTCTAAAATCCTCCCTCATTAGCTGAAACTCTGAAACTCTTCAGCAAAAAAGTAAAGAATATTAGACTAATGCTTAAGAGATCTGAGTTGGAACACATTATACTAACCACCAAATCACTTAACTATTTCAGGACTCAGTTACCTCATCTAAAAGCTGATTAGTATTTAAGATATCTTCAATCCCTAAAAGCCCTTCACAAGCTATTTTATTGATAGGTATTGAATATTTATAATTATCTAAAATAAATAATACATTTTCAAAAAATGGTGCAATGGGGGAAATAATAGGGTGTAAAAGTTAGTTAAAATCAGAATACTGATTTTTTGAGAGACAAGACCCAAAACAGATTAAGAAAAAATATTAAAAAAATGTATTTAAGGCATAATATGATTTATCAGAACCTTTCTAATCTAGAATTGAATGGGAATAATGCTGGAAGAGAAAGTGAAAAGAATGACAACCTTTCGGATGAGGGAAGAGGAGGACACTGAAAATGCCAATGGGAAGAAAATTTGGGAGAAACAAACTTCTATTATAGTTTTTCTAACAGTTTTCATTTAAATACAGTTGGACTCAACCAATTTTTGAGTACCGCAAGTCTTCATTTAATATCCTTAAGTGATTCCTGGAAGTTAGCACCTTAGGTAAACAATGTTAAAACCAGTTTTGCCATAGGCTAATTGATATGGGTAAAATTCTTACAGTATATTTCTGGTCATGAAAGTATTACCAAACTTTTAAATAAACACCCGAAACACTTCTTATATAAAATAATAGCATGGACTCATTCACTCATTCATTCATTGATTCACCTCAGCTTTTACAGTTTAGGGCCATGAGTGGTCAGAGCCTGTCCTAGCAGTTCTGGGAGCAAGGCGGGAGCCCAGCCTAGACAGGACACATTCCATTCTGCAGGGTGCTCAACACAGCCACACTCACTCAAACTGGGACAAGTTAGACACATACAAACTTAACTGGGGTATCTTTGGGGTGTGTGAGGAGGCTCAAGTCCCCAGAGACTTGAGAAGAACTGCAAACTCCACAGAGACAGCTGCACTAGTTGGGAATTGGATTTTTTCTTTTCAGGCACATTATAACAAATTACATTATTCAAAGACCTGCTTGTGTCCATATTTTATAGTTTTCCTATCCTTTCCTCACTCTAAGCTTCTCAGACATTAGTTCTTGCTGCTGTGATTAAAAATGTCATAAATAATTGCCCTATATCACTAGGAAGGGAATCTGTTGGGAAGTAGAAAGCAAAATAATGATAATAATAGTAATAAAATAACCTAAAAATGTGTAATCCTATGTATAAATTATTAATCAAAAGTCTCTGAGAAACTAGTAAGAATAGAAGACATCATCTCTACTCCATGAACTACACTACACGTATTTTGTGCTCTCCACATGCTTTTGGATATTCCAGATATTTGAGATAATCACATAAATGCCCTCTGTGTAGTCAATATACTTTATAAACCACTCTTCTAACACTTAACAGATAGTCCACCAAGAAAATGATAAGAAAATTTTATCTTGATAAGACTGCTACATAGTATATATTTTGCTAACTATTTAGCTAAAGCTCCTACTTTTTTCACTCCATTTTTATATTCTACAACTTTAGTTTTTATTTGATAAACTGATAATCACTTAAAAACAATTCTACTTAAAAATGAGAATAAGGATCTAGAATTTCAAATTTCTTAAACACCAGAATCTAAGGTAAAACAGCAGTCTCATGCACTACTCTTTGTATTTTTATACCAAACATACCCCTTTAATGAAATAAGGACCTTCATTTTCATAAAATATTCCAACAATCAGTTACATAAGTAGTAGAACGTTTAATGACAAATTTAGTTAAGAAAATTCACTATATTACACTGCTCATGTGTATCACAGGGTGATGCTTTCCCAATTATCTTACAGAACTGAATATAAAATTAGATTTGTGGACTGTTAATGGCATTATCAATCTTCCTTCCTTTATACAAAATGTTTGCAACAAAGGTCTGACTCGCAAATACCTTAAAAATAAAAGACCAGTATAAATGTAACTGAAAAAGAAAACCTGGTTCCTCAGAACAGAAAATTAAGGAAAAATTAAGTAATTTGCTCATGATCCTAAAGACACATACTTCTAGTATTTGCTTTGAGGTAAGTGAATAACTAGCATTAAACTTATAAAGAATTCCAAGCCTTTTTTTGTATTAGAAATAAGTATAAAATTTAAGACTTCCTTTCAAAGTGAATTGGATTTTTTTTTTGTACCTTTGAGAATTCTTCAGGTTCCTTTATATCTAATGATCGTGTTGCAAATTCTAATAGTTCTTCAGAGTTCTCCAGGGCGTTATTACATTGACTGAGCTGACTCTAGGAAAAGATAATGAGAATTAAAGTCTTTCAGAATCAGAATCTTAATATAGAGTTATAAGGAACGTACCATTTTAATATCAATAAATAATATTTTATATATCTACTAATTTTAATTATGTTAATTCATTGTACTTAACATCGCTCCATAATTTACCCAAAACAGCTTAACTGCACACAATATACTCCATCATTTAAAAACACAAAAGGAAATATAAATAAATTGGGATAGAACTTACCTAAAGATCATTCTTAAATAACAGTCATTAAAGTATTAAGTTAAATTAAAATGTCAAAATAATTCATATGTAGATAACCTATGCTACAATAAAGAATAAATTTTTTGACAATATTTAACTATAAGTTGAAGTTTGTGACTCAAGTTACAGGCATATTCTTATGCCACAGTCTTATGCCATTTGTCATTTTATCATATTACTCAAGTAATGCATACTACAATACATGTGAATTTAGAATTCTATGACTGTGTAACATAGGAATCACAAACACAAAGGCCGAGATATGAGGAAGAATGAAGCCGAGAAGATAACACAACTTATTGTGCTGGGCCTGTATATTTACAGTGATACAGTCATGGCAATGTGCTGATTGGTGCACCTAACAAAAACTTTTCTGATTCAGTTCTCTCTCTTCAATCTATCATTTGTAAATCTAAAACTAAGCTCAGTCATGTGAAAATATTGTCAGTGTTACCTTCCAATAAATAAGAACCAATTTCTAAGATTTTAAATGTACCCATGATTCTTCTTCAGAATAATATGTATTTTCATTGTCAAGTGTACTTATTTTTCTCTTAATATTCAGCACTAAAGATAATATTATAATTCATTTATTGATTTCTACTACTATCTTATTTTGGGGAAGTAGAATAGTTCAGCCAAATAGTTCATGTTTTCTAAGAACCTAATCATAATTTCATAAAACATTGTTCTCTATGAGTATACCCCTCAGACATTTCAAAGAAGAATTTCAAATACCCTCTTTGAAGAAAAACTTTAGAAAAGGTTCTAAGCAAAAACACTGAGAACAAATGGTAGGTATAAATGGTCTATACAGGATCACTAGGGCAGACTAAAACAATGTAGCCTTAAAGTAAAAATTACCAAGAAAAATAAAAACAGTATTACAAGGAGCTATTAAAAAGAATCCAGGGTCCTCCCTGGTGGCACAACAGATTAAAGTGCAACACTATGAAGCTATGTGCAGCCATTGCAGCAAGAGTTTGATTCCTGGCCAGGGAGGTGACCCACATGGAGTGCCAGACCTCTCCTGTCTCGTCCGCTGCTCCCTTCCACAGTGTATTTCAGTTGATCTGTCTGTTCTGCTCCCCACTCTGTCTCTGGTGAATCCTCTCACCCCCCTGTACCTCTGGCCTGTACCTCAGTTCTTGTATACCTAAATAAATAAATCTTCAAAAATAAAATAAAAGAATCCACACTAAGGTGAAAATTTAGGATAAAGTAATAGCTTATTCTAAGAAAATAGAGGAAGGGAAGGCACATAAAAAAAATGGGTAGAGTACAAAAGACCACAAGCTTCTAAAGGAGAAACTTACAGAGGAATTGTCAAAATATCTTAACTAAACAATATGCTGTGGAATTAGTGAATCCAAAGGAAGAACACAGTGTCATATTTCTCTGAACAAGGAAATGGCATCAGAAGCCAAATTGTTCTTATTGATATCTGATTTTTAAATTATCCCAAGAAAGTTTCATGATTTGAATTTCCATAATGCTAATATCACCATAGCTTTTCCTTAAAATCATGAGAATAACTTTAAGAATGAACAGCTATGTTGATTAAGCTTATGTCTCAAGAACTAATTATATTTTACAACATACTAACCTCTCAGTATCTCCCAATTTCCCCTAAGCCACCATTTCTATTTTTACAAAAAAAAAAAAAGCCAGTGTGTGTGAGATTGGGGGGAAAAAAGGTAAAAAAGAATTACAAAAGATAATAATGCATAAGATAGAAGAAAATAAAAAATGGGATGGCTGTAAAAACAGTCTAGTGGACAGGGCCCTGCCCGCACATCCCCGGGGGCACATCTGAGGACGAGTTGTGGAGAGGGTTTGCAAGGGCAGACACTGCTGTCCAGTGAACAGCCCTCTTGCTACTTACACAGTAATAGTATAAGGTATAATTGGTATAATTTCCATCTATGCCCAGACTGTCTTGGACCCTGACCACACATTCAGTGGTTACCTGGGTGTCCCCAGCCACCTCGTAATGAGGGTCATGTGTCAAGGCAGTCATGCAGGAGTGCCTTACCCAAATCGCTTACACACACAGGTGTAGAGAGGCCGTGGCACACAGGAGCAGAGGCCCCAGTTGGAAGAGAGACCACAACAACAAAGACCTAAAGTGGTGATATAAGGAGGAGAAGATGGTGCTAACATCCTGTTGTCACCACCTCCAAACTGTGATACTGGCATAAAGACAAAGAGAGGAATGGAACAAAATAGAGAGCCAACATGATCAGTGATCTATGGTAGAAATGCCAAGCTGTCCAACGGGAAAACTACAGAATCTTCAACAAATGAAATGGAATGAAGTTGGAACTTTTCTTCATATTATATACAAAAAATAATGCTAAATGGATTTTTTTCAGTGAGCCCTAAAAAAACTAATAAAAGAAAACATGGAAGAAAAGCTTTATGGCACTGAATTTGGCAATGATTTCTTGAATGTGGCATCAGAAGTCCAGGCAACAAAACGCAAATGGGACTCTATCAAAGTCTAAAATTTTCCACATTAAAGAGAGCCATCACAAAGTGAAAGACAACCTATGAAGCAGGAGAAAATAACTGAAAATTATGGATTTCACTAGGGGTTATTTTCAAAATATGTAAAGAACTGCTATAATTCAAAAGCAAGAACAAAACCCCCACAAATTAACCCAATTAAAAAATGGGCAAAAGGGTGGGAAGAATGCACTGAACTGTGGTGATGACACATGGGTAACTGGTAGTGGGAAGCCCCTGGGGATAACAACTGAGATGAAAAAATGCACAAAATGAAGAGTGATGTAAAAAAAAATAAAAAATATAAAAACAACAACAACAAAAGGACAATAGATTTGAGTAACATTTCTCAAAAGAGATCTAAAAATAGCCACAAGTACATGAAAATATCTTACAGTTTTAGGGCTCACTTCTAGGTGTGCAATCCATTTGGAATTAATGGAAATAACCCAAATGTCCAGACAGAAGACTAGACAAAGAACATATGGTATATACATATAATGCACATCACTGTCATATAAAAAGGAAATTCTGACACATGCTGTAAGATGGACAAACCATTAAGACACTGATGAGTGAAGTCAGTCAGTCACAAAAGGGATAAAATCTGTATGATTCCAATTACAGGAAATAACTAGGGTAGTCAAAACAACAGAAACAGAAAGTACAATGGTGGGTGCCAGGAGGTAGGAGGAGGGACAAATGGGGGATTGTTATTTGATAAAGCTACAGTTCCAGTAATGCAAGTGAAAAAGGTTCTAGAGAGCTGTTACACAGCAATGTGACTACAGTTAACATACCGGAAGATAGTCTTAAAAATATTAAAAGTAAATTTTATATTATGCTTTTAGCACCATTAAAAAAACAAAAACGAGAGCTATGATCAAAAACAAAGTCAAGATTCACTTTTCTATACATTAAAACTACATTTATATCCAAAATTTACTAATTTTTGCTTCTGATAAATTAAGCTTTGAACAGACTATTGTATGATCTCACCTGTAGCTCATGTGATTTACGAGCTTGTTCCTGCTTGATACTGCTCATCATACTTTCCTTCACCTCATCCAATATAGAGTACAAACTATCAAATTCTTCATCTAACTCTGAAAGGATGTTGGAAGAATTTTCCTGTTTAATAAGACAAAACAAAACAATGTTTTTATTCAAAAGTTGTTAAACAAAACTAAAGGCAGTACTTTTCAAAGGAGAAAACAGTCCTATTATCTATAAACTCCATCAGTCTAACAGTTACAACAAAAAAACTCTAATTTTGACATAAGGCTTAAAAACAAATCCAAGGAAGTTAGCTGCTAATGCTCATAGTAGTATTCATGTATGTTTTGAGTTAAGTAGCCCTTATGAACTAGCCCAACAAAGACAGTTAAAATAAACAAAAGGTGAATCCATAGGGAAGGATTCACTGTAAAAGGTCTATGAACTTTCTATGCTTATTTCACAAAGAAACAAGCCTTAAATTCTCTTAAGCACTTTCACTGGAAAGCATCACCAGGTTATTTTGAGGTTCTTTTCACAATTACTATTTAATTATTTATAACATGAATTATCTGCCCAAGCCTGTGTCTATATCCTTACGTATTGCTCTCTTCCCTCACTGGGCCCTTTACCATTTGCTTTTATGTTTTATTTTCACCTACTTCTCCAAGGAGACCTCTTCCACTATGTGTCATTAAAGAAGTGTTTAGTTTCCCAATACTTTATAAAATGTAAAATTTGCTTAGCTGGAATCAGAAGAGACAAACATAAAATGAAAAGGGATAAAAGTGAACACCATTATATTCCCTAGCAACTTCTCCTGAGTTTTCTTTTTCCCTGACTATTGGTTCTATCCAGGAAGAATGCAGGAATAGCAAGGAAAACTTTATCAGCCACTTAAAAACCCTGCTCTCCCCCTCATCAGTTTATAATCTTGCACTGATAGATGGGATATATTTATACTTCTGCTATTACCCAACAATCACTCATTGTAGCATTTATACAAACTTTTAAATAAAAGATTCATACCTGAACTCCTTTTAGTGTTTGATTTAGTGTGTCAATAAAGTTCTGAATTTCATCATTTTTATTTGCCAGAGTTGAAATGATCCTTTGTAGTGCTTCCTAGGATTACAAAATATTAAAACATAGTATTTTAATAAGAAAAAAATATGAACACTGTAACAATTGTCTAAACAAACTCCATGAAAGAGTGTATGGTATAACAGGAGCAATTTAAAGTTTCAAAGTGTATTTATAGAATGAGCCAAGTGTTTTATAAATTTACTGCATTTATTATCAGTCTGTAGTGAAGGAGGGCAAAAACAACCTGCTCTGTCAACCTGAAAAGATGCCCACTAGGCCTCAGATTTCATTTCAGGTCTCACTTCCATTACCTTTCAAACACTGATGGGCAGTGGAGGACATCATAGATGGATAAAGGCAATATAAGTGATATGAAGCTTATCTAGACAATGTAATTTTATATTTTGCATTATTAAAGAAAATGTAGGCCAGAAGATACACTTTGACAAATATCAATTCTGCTTTATCATTGTAAAATAAAGAGGATATGTCTCCAAAGGAAATCTACAGAGGTAATCTCAGTTATTATCCCTTTGGCCAAGTACCACAGTAACCAAGACCTCAAAAAACAAACAGCAACAAAATAAACAAATCACTACTGTGTCAGGATAAGCCTCTAAATTATCTGACAATGGAATTAGACTAAGATAACTGCTAATGCTAGCAACAAAAAGGGTCCTATACACCCCAGCCAAGCAAAGCTGTAATGATTCCCATGGAATGAATCAAAGTGATTTGGGGAGTGTACAAGGCAGAGACTCTGAGCAAAAGAAAAACAACACTTTCATATTCTTAAAAGTCAGTCACTATCTTAAGCGCTTTACAAATATAGATCATTGAATCCCCTCAAGTTCTCTGCGGTGGGATACTATTATCTTTGTTTTCTAAAGCAGAAGCTGAGAGGTTAAATTCCTGCCCAAATCTCAGAGTAATAGGAAGCAGACTCAGGAGTCAAATAAAGGCAGTCTGACTCCTAAACCTACTCTTTAATTATTACACTCTACAAAATGAAAGTGAAGATCGGAGGGTCGGGAAAAGGAGGTCAGAACATGTGAGTATACTACAAGAACTAAGGTTTTACTTCAAGACTGGAAAAAGCTCGAACTGATCAACAGGTCATAACACAAACTACTAAGCCACGTAAAAGGACAACAGCTATTCCAACTACACGCAAATACCATCTTGTAAATCTGAGACATGATGACTGTCATCATTTGAAGTGGCAATATGCCACTGGGTTTATATGAAGATGCCAAATTCAAATGTGGGTCTTAACTCTGCTGCACTCAATAAAAATGCTCTCCCAATTTGGGCCACTAAACAGGAAACTATCCAGTGTGAAAGACCCTGAAATGATGATACAGAAACTTACTGTCCTTAGAGTTTATGGCAGAAAACCATTATACATAGGTTTGGATGTCAGCTAATCAGAGGCGATCAAATAGCAACTGGTCACAATTAGAGAAATATTTAATATATGGATTTCCCACAAGCATCTATATACACCAGAAAATTTTTTAATTCAATTTCTACATGAATACTCCAGTGAGATACAGAAACATCACTAATCAACCTATAATTTAGGGGACTCAAATTGTTATTCAGTTAGTAGTCACTAAGCATTTCCTATGTTCTAGGCACTGCACTAATATATTTATTATCATAATAGATTTTTTTTAAAAAATAAGTATATTAGTCTTTGCATTTTTGTGTGGAAGAAAGGTAAGGCTAGAGAAGTTAAGCAGAGTATGTCTGAGATTACACAACTATCAAATGGTGGTCAAATTCAAATTCAGGAAGCTGCCTCCAGAGTGAGGGCGTTTCTGTGAACCTAGGCTGCTTCCACTGCTGGGCATATAGAAAACATTCACAGAATTTCTGCGTCTGGGGCAAATGCGTCCAGAAACCAGCATATAGCATTCTAATATCTAAATACAATACCTAAATGCCACTAGGACTCATGCCTCTTGCATTGAGACAGACATCACTTTTGAATTAGATATCAAGAGTTGAAATTCAGAAAGCTCTATCTAGCTGGAAGCTAGATAACCAGATTCTTACCAGTGGGCTATAGCTATGACAATACACACAAAAGAGTATTTTACTGGGTGTAAAAAGAAGCTGAAAAAGGAAAATTATCTATGTGGGGGAATTCAGGAATCTGATAAAGTTGCTGATCGGCAACTCTCTAGCAGTGAATGGTTGGGAACAGTGCCTGTGTAAAGATGCTCCCCATGTCCAGAGGAAAAAATTCAAGGGAAGACCTGGTGAGGAATGCTGCCCTTCCACCCTAAGCATTTGAAAGATTCTGGGTTACAGGAAAGGGTATGCTCCCATCTAGACTCTGAGGAAATAAAAGAGGCTAAAGAAGTCTAATCCATAGTCAATGACCTTTGAAATGGGATGTGCCATCTAATGAGGTTTAGTTAGCTCATATTCAGCCAAGGAAAACCGAAATCTCACCAACTACTGAAGGGAGGTGGGGTGGCAGTGGGGATAGGACTGGAAGAAGTGTAAAGTGACATAACCCCTTCTAAGGGTGACCTGCCATACACTTCAAAAAACTTTTAAAACTATACCTACATTAACTCAGTAATTCTATTTCTACTAAAGTACTCTAATGATTAATTAAACTAGAAGAAACATTATCTCAGTGTTATTTGTAACATTAAAAGGTTGAGATCAGGGAGCCTCCTTGCTGGCACAAGAGGTTAAAGTGCAGCACTGTGAAGCTATGCACAGCCACTGCAGCAGGAGTAGATCCCCAGCCAGGGAGCTGACCCACATGGCACAGTAGACCTCTCCTGACCTGCCCACTGCTCCCCTTAGCAGTGTATCTCAGAAGAGCCATCTGCTCTGTTCCTTACTCTGTATCTGGTGAATCCTTTCACACACACACTCCCCCCCCCCCATTGCCTGTACCTCAGTTCTTTTATGCATAAATAACATCTTTTAAAAAGAGTTGCAATCAACACAAATTCACAACAAAAGGTTCTAATTAAAAGTCAAGTATAACATTCACACAAAAGAATTCCACTGAATCATTAAAAGTGCTGTAGAATGATACCAAATGGAAAAATATTTGTAACATATTAAGTGAAATGCACATTATAAAGCAGTATACATAGCCTATCACCACTATTTTAAAGAACTTTTATATGAATTTTTAAAAGATTGGAATGTAATACACAAAAATGTTATCTCTGGGTCACAGGATTATGGGTGATTCTTACCTTACTTCCATGCATCTATATCTCCTATTTTCCTACAATAAATTTGTTTTACTTAATTTTTAAATAACAAAAGGGCACAGGATGGCCATGATAACCCTTTATTATAAATTAGTTCAAAATATAATTAGCTATCAATCATCAAGCATCAGTAATTGAGACCAGATTCTATCAGATCTTCTGGCTGGGAAGAGGACTAACTGAAGATATAAAAATAGACAATTAGAGTCAAAACCCACCAGCTTCAAAATATTGTCTTTCCTAGGTTTGAGTAAAATAGCTGTCACTATGGCAAACATTCAGTATGTGTTTACTACAGAAATGATTCTGTTTACATGAAACCAGGAACTGCAAAGAAGCATTATATTAAATTAAAAAAAAAAAGCAAACCAGCTTCACTGTATTTCTAATTTTTAAAAATTGCCAAGTTCAACAAAGTGAAGACCTTCTGTATTTAAGTACAGTGATCGTGAAATACAGTGATCGTGAGCATGTCAGTATGTTGTTTATATATACTTTCTTGCTCAACATTAGAAAGCTAACAGCACCCCTCAAAAAAAGTAACAAAGAGTTGGCCAGGAGGGGAATACATATATAAGAAGAAAACTGGGGGTTTTTTGGAGCAAGGACCAATCTAAATAATGTACCATACCATATATCAATTATTTTCAGTAGACTTAATTAGCTTTGTAAACAGACACTACCTCATAGAGGTTTAATGTCATTAACATGTTAAATTTTATTACTTTAACCATGCATATAAAGGCAAAAGACTCAGGCAAGATGGATGGTAATGAAAATAGCTGGGCTGTGAAGAAAGAGCTGGTTTGAATCCAAACTACCACTTGCTAGCTGTGTGACTGAAGAAATCACTGACCCTCTCTGTGCTTCACTTTCCACATCTGTGGAGCAGGAATAAGACTGTTTAAAACAGTCTAACACGATGCAAAACAATGTTCAAATTTAATTTCTCTCTCCTTTCCCCAGAATTATTTTTTTTAACTGACAGGTAATTTTGAGTATGAGACAGTGGGTTAGCTGGATATGGTGGAATTATTTGAACTGCTAGGGTATGATATGAAAATAAAGGAGAACAAATACAGGGTAAAGAAAGAAATAAAGGATAAAGGAGCCAAGAATAGACACACTATTTGCAGCAGGTTGTCAAGCTTTAAAACTATCCTTACTCAGGTCAATCTATCTCCTCAATCTAAGTTGTCTAGTCTTGTACAATCAAGCCTGGCCTGTCACTAAGCCTTTCTAATTAAACAGTAAAAAAAAAAAAAAAAAAAACACAGGAAAAAGTGGTGAAAGCAAACAATTAACAAAGTAAGCTCTTGGTGACATCCTTCCTGCTGGATCCCTTTTCTCTTCCTCTCTACCTTTATTATCTTTACAGCATGTACCTTTCCTAGAATCAGCAACCACTATGAATGTGTGAATGCTCTCCTGTGCAACAACTTACACTATCAAATTCCAAGTGTCAAGATTCTAGAAAGGTGCAATGTCTTATTTGTTTCAATGTTGTCTTTGAACATAAACATTTTATCAAGTAAAGAAACCTTCAGGATTTTTATCTTAAAACCACTTAAGGACATAATCAAAAGGTTTGAGTATCAAAGGAAGACACCTATCCATAACACATCCTGTTCACAAAAGTGACCCAGAAACTCGATATAAACAAAAATCCTTCTGTTTATTTCAAAGCAATAATACTGTGGTTTTCTGTATCCAACAGTATGCCTTACATACCCAAGGCAATTATGTTTTCTTCCTCTACTCAAACAAAGCATCTGTTGCTAACACAACACTGAAGCCCAAGTTATTTTCACAGACAAAAAAGCAGCTGGTCAAGCTAATCCATTTGCTGACTAGCCACCATCAAGCTTCTGTAAGACTGTCCAGTTAACTTAACCTCTATTGTCAGATCCCAATAATCAGAACTTGCAATCCTCTTTCAATTGAGATTTAACAGCTTCTTAAGCACCATCATTTGAAATCACTTATTACAGACATCAAAAAAGAAAACATTTTTAAAAAAAATTAAAGACAGAGATAAAACATGGCTAGACCAGACTCAAAAAATAGTCACACTGATTATCAGTGAAAGGACAAAGTATTCTGAAGTTGGAATTATGAAATAACAATACCCAACAGACAGTACCAACGTGTGCTAGATATGGTTAAGAGATTTTTAAAAATTAGTGAGATCCTCACAGTAACACTTTAAGTACAAATGTTTTCTCTATTTTGTAGATGTGGAAATAGAGTCACACACAAATTCATTCAGCTCATAAATAGTAGGGTTGAAGACCCAAAGTCAACCACTTAATAATTTAAAGCTCCAATCCCAATGCTTTACAAACAAGCAAACACTCCGGCCACTGGCAGCACCTAACCATAGTTCTTACACTAAGTTACAATTCCTTTGACTATTCTAACATTCTAAAGCAGTAAAGAAAAGTCATGCCAGGGCTATATTACTATCTTAAGGAGAAATAAATATCCAGTTTAGTTCATTGTTTACTGACATTTATAAGTAATTCTTTAATAATTCATGAGAAAAGGATGCTAAAATTCTAATCACTAGAGGTTATGAGCATTAACACCAAATACTGGTTTTATTCTATAGAAGAATATAAAAATGTTTTAATTAGAAAAATTATTTAATACCATCAATAGATTCAACACATTTTCTAATATGGAGAAGTTAATGCTCAAAAAAAGAGTTATCACAAATAAGGTATATTAGTGCCAGTAGAAGAGAATAGTTAATTCTTTGCTACCTCAAATGGTGTACCTGGTGCCTTTTGGTACTCAAATACATCATGAGGAATGAAACCAAGTAAAGTTTAAATCTTAGTCCTATAGCTAAGAAGTCACAATCGCTAATTCTTGAGTCCTCTGTAAAGTGAGGGATAATGCATACCTGACAAAATAATTCACATTAAAATAATTTTTAATTATACCTTACATCAGAGAACTTGTGCTTATTCTTTGTAAACTTTAAAACACCATATTTTCACTGAGGATTATTTCAACTCATTTTTCCAATAACCCTATCAAACTGTCTTACCTCCACTGCACAGATATCACATGACTTTTATCTAAAATGTTGTATGAACTGTTAAGTGCTTTACAAGCTTAGGCAGAAATATTTAAACACCACACATATTTAGAACACCTGAAATTATAATTTTAAAAAATGGCTTACTCGTAGTCATGTAAAAGTATACTCAGCTGGGCTTCCAGATGCATGATACAATGAAACCATGTGCACTTTCGTTACATTGCAACAGTCACCACTTAAAACACCACCACACTATTTGTCATGCCCCCCCTCACTCTGTTCCCCAAGGACATAAATTCAGGCAAAACCATAGAATATATGGTTCCAGTAAGTCCTTCCAGTGCTTTCTATCTAATAATAGAAAAGAATGGTCTCTTGGATAGGCCCTTGTTTTTCCCTGCTACATTATTAATAACTCTTGTTTTTCCTTCCCATACTGTACTAATCTACAATTACACTATAATCTAACAAAGAGAACAGGATATTTGCATTCTACATAGGAATTATCGTTGAACGTTAATAACTCATTTCCGATCCAAACACTGGCTCAAGTTCTCTAATTTTTTTTTTTGCCTTTAAAACAGCTAGTTCTGTACATTCTTTCGTTAACTTGCTCGGAATGTACAAAGCACATGGCACAACCAATAAAGTAACAGAGACTAGCAACACCGAGCTGGTCAAAGAGGGTGGGATTACTGCCCTGTCAACTCTTCCACCTTTTCATTCAATTCAGCTAACATTAAACCCTAAGATCCGCTTAAGAATTTGGGGAGAGGGAGGGCTTGGAAGGGGGTACACAAGAGGGAGTGTTACTAAGTAGATTTGATCCCCCACCTAAGGAGCCTGTATTGTGAGAAAAGAGATGACTTAGATGGAGGAAAGGGTATGAGCTCCGGTTCCGCAGGGTGACCCCATCCAGTGCCTAGGTTTTTTCATCCGCTGAGGACAGACAAACCCGCACTCGGACGACGGGAGGCTGCGAGAATCAATGGGGCCTACAGCACTGCAGAAAACGAGAGCTTACAAATTGGAGAGGTCTCCCTATTTCTCCAGCGGAGCCAGGGCCCGGGACCAAGGGCAGAGCAGAAGCCAGCCTGGGTCACCGGGTGCGGTCCCCGCAGCCCGGAGAGGGCTAATTCTCTCCGGCCTCAGAGACAGGCCGAGGGCCTCGCCCTCCTCCCCAGCTGCCTGGTCTGGCCGGGATACCCAGCGCGCCCACCGCCCACCGCCCACCACGCCGGGCCCCGGCGCCACGCCCACCCACAGCCAGGCCCCGCGGCCCCGCGCCCCTGTCTCCCGCTCACTTTTTGAGCATCCATGGCTAGGGGCTAAGTCCGCAGGGCCCCACACTGCGTCGGGAGGCTGAGGGAGGTCGGACACGCCAAGACCGCTACCCAGATGGCTGCTCCGCTCCGCCGGCCGCTGCCGCCCCAGGCTCAGCCTCAGCCCGCACCGG